CCTCTTCGAGCTGTCTTTGACCGAAGCAGCCGGAACATACATCTCCTAGGTGTTCTGTGTCTAGGACTGCGACGAATGGAACCGGGATGTGTAGCACGTCTTCGCCGACAGGAATGTCTGTTGAGGCGAAGAGGCCTCGTCCTAGACCACCTGGGGCGGGCTGGGGTGTGGTTTTCGTGGTCATTGGATCTTATGGGGTTTCAATGGAGTATTGGTTGGATTGCTCAAGGCAGGATAAACAGTTGGTAGATCCTGTAGTTGTATATCAATGAGTTATAGAATTATTTCCCTTTTCGTCTAAGCTTGGCGTGGACGAGCTCGGAATGGAAAAATGTTTTTACTCGAGGATATTCTTCTATACACTAAATTGTGGTACAGTTCGGTTCAAAACGTGATAAGATGGAATTCGTAGTAGTATGATGCTAACATAGGTTATGCATATTGTGTCAAGCTCAAGGTTGTCTGTGATGCCAGAGACCGGGGTTTCCTCTACTTGTGTGGCCGAGTCAACCGCCTCGCAGGCCAACTTTGGTGACTTACTTGTCTCAATTATGATGGCAAAGAGTAGTAGCTTATAGTGTTGATCTATGATAATCACATCATAAGACAGCTGCTACAAGTACAAAGCACGGAATTGACAAAGATCATATCAGAAATCGAAATTGGATATAATTGACAGGCTATACTACATACAACTAGAATCAAAAATAATTGACCTTTCGCTCAAGCACAAAGCCGGCCTACAAACCTATAGACTGCGAAGCAAAAGGCAACAGAAGGAATCATCCATAAGGCCAACAAACCAGAAAAAGATAATCACAGAGAGCATGACCGTATTCCTCATATCGCCTTTTTTGAAGACGGAGTAAACATATCTATCAACATGGAGCCTTATCCGCTACGCCAAACACGGCGGCTTTTCTGTGCCTTGGAAAGATGAACGAACAGAAAACCGTGATTATATCTATGAAATCAAACTTTTCGTCCTTTTGGTGGGTAAACTTGCGTTTACAGCAGCTTGCCGCCGGTGAAGTCGGACCAGGTGCGGACCTCGGAAGGAATGCCATCGGGACGGGGCAGCTTCTCGCTCATGGCCTGGGCGAAGAGGAGAGCAGTCTAGAAAGAACAGTTAGCATCAAAATAAGTGGAGGAAGAGGGATGAGTTGCATACCTTGGTCTCCATAAAGAGAGGAACACCGAAGTCAACGGCGTTACGTCTCATGACATAGTCCTCATCGAGGAGGGACTTGCCACGGGTCTTGGCAAGGTTGAAAGTACCACGGATGTTGTACTTCTGGAAGACTTCACGCAGAGCACGCTTGTCCTGCTTGGGGAACTCAATGACCTGCACGGGAACCTTGGTAGCAGCCTCAAGGTGCTCCTTGACAGCGGGGCTAGCAGCGAAGAACTGGAAGTCGAGGGGCTTGAGGTACTCGACAATCTGGGCCAGGGCAGGGTTGGTGATATCACCGCCGAGCAGGATACCCTCACCAGCCTCAGGGCAACGGAAGTTCATGGTAGCCTGCAGGGAAGCCCAGTAGGCCTCAACGACATCCTTACCGAAGCAAGCAATCTCACCAGTACTGGCCATCTCGACACCGAGGAAAGGATCGGCACCAGCAAGACGGGTCCAGCTGAACTGGGGAACCTTGGTGGCGAGGTAGTCGCGCTTGACCTTCATGAGGTCAACGGGCTCAGGGACGTCACGGCCAACCAGAGCCTTGGTAGCAACATCGATGAAGTTGGTACCCAGGACCTTGCTGACGAAGGGGAAGGAGCGGGAGGCACGAAGGTTGCACTCAATGACCTTCAGCTCAGGCTCAGCACCCTCCAGGTCAGCCTTGATGATCTGCATGTTGAAGGGACCGGTGATGTTCCAGGCCTTGGCGACCTTCTCGGCAATGTCCTTAACGCGGCTCATGACAGACTCCTCCAGGTTGGCGGGGGGGAGGACAAGGGTGGCATCACCGGAGTGAACACCAGCAGGCTCAACGTGCTCACTGACGGCATGGAGCAGAAGCTTGCCGTTGGAAGCGACAGCGTCAACGTCGATCTCCTGGGCACCCTCGATGAACTTGGTGATGACAACGGGGTGGTCGGGAGAGACGGCGCTAGCGTTGAGGAGCTTCTCCTTGAGCTCGTCGACGCTGTAGATGACGTTCATGGCAGCACCAGACAGGACGTAACTGGGACGAACCAGGACAGGGTAGCCAACAGACTCAGCGAAGCGCTCAGCCTCGGCGACGGAGGTAAGCTCCTTCCAGGCGGGCTGGTCAACACCAATGCTGTCCAGAATCTGAGAGAACTTGTGACGGTCCTCAGCGCGGTCAATGTCCTTGGGGTCGGTTCCGAGAACGTGAGCACCGCCAGTCTCCTGGAGGCGGAGAGCAATGTTCTGAGGAAGCTGACCACCGACAGAGACGACAACACCGCTGGCGCTCTCGAGCTCGTAGATATCCATAACACGCTCGTAGCTGAGTTCTTCGAAGTAGAGCTTGTCAGCAGTATCGAAGTCAGTGGAGTAGGTCTCGGGGTTGTAGTTGATCATGACAGTCTTCTTGCCCATGCCGCGCAGGGAGAGAGTAGCGTTGACAGCACACCAGTCAAACTCGACGGAGCTTCCAATACGGTAAACACCGCTTCCCAGAATGATGACACCGTGGTCATCGAAGCTGACATCGTGGGAGGTAGCGTTGTAGGTGGTGTAGAGGTAGTTGGTGTCGGCAGGGAACTCGGCGGCGAGGGTGTCGATCTTCTTAACCCAGGGCCTGATACCGAAGGACTTGCGGCGGGCGCGAACGTCGTCCTCAGAGGCGCCAACGAGCTGAGAGATCTGCTTGTCAGAGAAACCAAGCTTCTTGGCCTTCAGCAGGATCTCCTTCTGGAGGCCAAAGAGGCTGCCGATGTCCTTGAGCTCGTGGTGGCAGTCAACGATGTTCTGGAGCTTGTACAGGAACCACTTGTCGATCTTGGTCAGCTCGTGAACCTTGTCGACGGAGTAGTTCTCGTGAAGCATAGCCTGGCCAACAGCCAACCAGCGGCGGTCGGTGGGGTTCTTCAGGACTTCGTCGAGGTTCTCGAAGTGGTCACCCTGGAAGCCAACGAAGCGGGGGTCAACCTGGCGGATAGCCTTCTGGAAAGACTCCTCGAAAGTACGACCGATAGCCATGACTTCACCGACGGACTTCATGGCACTGCCAATGTCGCGGTTGACATGCTGGAACTTGCTCAGATCCCACCGGGGGATCTTGGTGACGATGTAGTCCAGACTGGGCTCGAAGTTGGCAGTAGTGGTCTTGGTAACCGCGTTGGGAAGCTCGGGGAGGGTGTGTCCCAGACCGATCTTCGCAGCAGTGTAAGCCAGGGGGTAACCGGTGGCCTTGGAGGCCAGAGCCGAGGAACGAGAAAGACGAGCGTTGACCTCAATGACACGGTAGTCAAGACCATCGGGCTGCAGAGCGTACTGGACGTTACATTCACCAACGACACCCAGGTGGCGGACAATCTTGATAGCAGCGGTACGAAGCATGTGGTACTCCTCATCAGACAGGGTCTGACTGGGAGCAACGACGATACTGTCACCGGTGTGAATACCAAGAGGGTCGAAGTTCTCCATGTTGCAAACAGTGATGCAGTTGTTGTCAGCATCGCGGACAACCTCATATTCGACTTCCTTCCAGCCACGGAGGGACTTCTCGACCAGAATCTGGGGAGAAAGAGTCAGGGAGCGAGAGGACAAGTTCTTCAGCTCCTCGGGGTTGGCAGCGAAACCGGAACCCAGACCACCCAGGGCGTAGGCAGAACGGACGATGATGGGGTATCCAACGGTCTCAGCAGCCTTCAGGGCCTCGTCGACGGTGCTGACCGCAATGGATTCGGCGATGGGAATGTTGATCTCGTTCAGGGCCTTGGAGAAGAGATCACGGTCCTCACTGGTCTCCAGGGTCTTGATGCTGGTTCCCAGAACGCGGACACCGTAGCGCTCGAAGATACCCATGCGGTTCATCTGCACACCCAGGTTCAGGGCGGTCTGACCACCGAAAGAGAGGAAGATACCATCGGGTCTCTCCCGCTCAATGACATAGGTGACATACTCGGGGGTAACGGGGAGGTAGTACACTTCATCCGCGAGCTTGTGATCGGTCTGAATGGTCGCAATGTTGGGGTTGATCAAAACGGACTGGACACCGGCCTCCTTGAGGGCCTTGAGAGCCTGAGAACCTATTGAAGAGGATTAGAGTTAGTAACTGTCTCACAAAATTACCTTGACCAATTAAATCCAATTCCTTTCTTTACCCCATGTAGTCATCGCTCAATTGATCGCGAAGCACCAGGGAAAGGAGCAGGAATATCAAGATGGGAAAGCCAAGGTTCAGCGACTCGTCCAACTTACCGGAATAGTCGAACTCTCCGGCCTGACCAATGCTCAGACCACCACTACCGATAACGAGGACCTTCTTGACATCGACCAACTTGCTGCCAGGCTTGACGAGTCCACTGGCGAGGTAGCTGTCAGCGGAGGGAGCGTTGGAGGTCTCGGAAGCCAAGCGACGAAGGGCGCTAGAGAAAGAGCGCAGCTGCTGCGGTCGCCACGGAGAAGGGGCCTTGGCCAATCTGAGACTCGAAGCCGTCGAGTGAGCGGTGGTCTGGGAGGAGAAGGGGCGCAAAGCGAGGGCGGAGCGACGAGACTCCGCCAGACAACGCTGACGCAGGAGGGCGGACGTAGCCTGCCCGCAACGAGTAGCGAGAACCATTGCGCTCTGCGCTGGTAGCTGAAAGGACAGGGAAAAGAGAGAGATGGAAAAATAAAAGGGATGAGTCAATTGAGAGGATGCACACTCTCTACTTTATGGCCTGGCAGAGTTCCGGAGAGGATGATCTGGAGACTCCGCTTTTGGTCCGGCTCTGTGGGAATTTTTTAATTTCCCTGCAAAGGCCAAGCAATTGAGTTCCTGGTGTATTCCACTTTATGCCACACGCCCACGACCAAAGGGGAGGACTTAAAGGGAGATGAATTGGCCAGGCGGACCTTTTTTTGGATTCTGGGAGAGAATTAGAGTGAAGGAAGAAATGGCTAAAGAAGATGGAGAGGGGACGGGAAACGAAGAAGTAAAGAAAAGGTGCGGGAAACGGCGATGAGTCAATGCGGCACTTTTTTTCTGGAGACCAAGAACCAGCCAAAATGGAGCGCGGGCTGCCGACCGACCAGGAGTTTCAATGGGACTTCCGACTTTGCATTGAAAAAAAAAAAAAAGATGCCCCAACCTTGGGAGGGCCGATAAGAGCTCCGGTGTGCGGAGCCCTTTTTTCCCTCTTTTCCCCTTTCAGTTGGCCCTCTGGATCGCTGGGACTCCAGAATTCCCCCAAAAGACCGGCCCGACCACTCACCGCCTAGATCATTAGCCAATGTGAGGGCATGGGGAACTGCAGGCTAACAGGTTCGGGGCCAAGTCTAAGTGGTGACTAGCGGCAGTAGTGGCAGAAATGGAGCCCGCGGTTAGCAATACCGATCACTAATTTACTGACTTGATAGCCCGTCCCAGTCTTTTCTCAGCTGTCCAGGGGCTGCTATCCCAGCTGTAAAGCGTTATTATAGGATAATCATTATTCAATTGCTATTAGACAACCCCCTTTCAAAGCTTGTCTGACTCACAACTCCCTGCCAGGGAACGGACCACCTGTACTCTCCTAGGCTGATCATGACTCCGTCCGTCTGTTCATCGTTGTTCATTTTCCAGGAAATTTTGATGGTTCGTCAAGCAGATCCATGCCTATCTAGTGTCCGCCCAGCCTGCAATGCTCGCTACTCCGCCAATCCCATTTCACCAGGCCAACACCGGCTTTCGGAGGGTCTCCACGCGCCGGAATACACATCCTGCCCATCCAAACGCTTTCCACTGTTCGTCTATGGTTCCTTGATAGAAGGAGCACTTATGCCGTGAGTCATCGGCATCTGAGCTTTCCAACTCAACTCTATTCAGTAGTGTCAACATTAATTTAGCCTATGTGTGTTAGTCTCAACCTGTTGCTAAGTATGTACGTCCTCGCTTTCCAGACTACGTAGTTGGGGATAGATAGTAGATCAACTCCCAACAGCCACTTGACCATGTAATTCAACACATGGACCCTTGGCTGGCTGTTGGATCCGCCACATTCAGGTCCGTGACCCGGTTTATCGTGTCTTGTACACCCAGATACCTTTCTCTCATTCATCTTCCCGGTTATATAAAGCATCCTCCAGGTCTTGGTTGAGTATATAATATACGTCTTCCACCAGCTACCGTGCATTATGTGTCGTTTCCTGTTGAGTAGTGTCTAGACTTTGCATCCTGCCGACGGTTGCGGAGTCCGAGGGTATTCTTGTAATCCCAACAGCGAATCCACCGATAATCCTTCCACTTTTAGTTTGCTCTTCTCGTTTTTATAGTGGCGTTCTCCACAACCAACTGGTGTTTCTCCTCGAAGGCACATTCGCTCACAGCGCTTTCTGGCATTGTTTTCGCGGCCCTGTCAACTCTGGCGGGATCTGCTTCAAGTCAATGACTACTTCGTGAAGTCAATCATAAGACACGGGGTTGACACTGGTATTTCAAAGTGCTCAGGGTCAATTCTCCGAGATTCAAGGCAGATAATCATGGCTTATCAGATTTAGAAGGAATCTTGACGGTTCCTGACTAAGGCTTCATAGAGACTTGGCGATTGAGGTGATATGGGTGGGTGTCGCGTGACTCATGTCGTTGAACAGGGCCATGAGACCAGAGTGTTAGTAGGCGCGGTGTCTGTAGGGTGCGCTAGTCTTCGCAGAGACGCGGATACTGGAGCATCCGCCTTACAGTGTTGATTCGGCCCGACGCGGTGCCGCTTTTGGCGCATTGGCCGGGCACGCATGGGGGAAGAGTCCCACTTGAAACAATTACTCCAGCATATGATCTCGACTAAGTACGATGATGTCGACTTTATGAGCATTGCCTCCATACTGGTGATTAGACATGTTCTATACGCAGTACACATGAGTATATCATATGCGCACCGTTTGGCAGGCATGTATGATGTGCATGCCCACGATTGGCAATTCTGCTAAACCCAGGCTGGGCTTAGTGGATTATGTTGATGAGTGCGCACTAATACAATCAGTAGACCTTGGAGTCGTGTGCCTATAAATACTAGCAAAGGAGAATCCATCGCATTCATGATTTTGCATTAAGAAGAATCTGACAGAGCAGCTCAAGCGGTGCCTTAGAGTGGGCCTCACTCTAGCCTCAGGATGGGGACTCCGCCTTAGCTCTATGTATAGACGAGTTAGTACATAGTATGCATGTGAGGCAGAATGCCGACCCAATCTCGACCGAGCTTACTAGAGTAGGATAGCGCGGTAGAACGGGAAAAGTAAAAAGCAGACAGACAGCGTTAGTGTGCACATTATTATGCGGTCAGATGGATTCAGATTACGACCTGCTGTGCCATGAGAGAATCTGGGAAACGGTGGATGTGGGACAACGACCAAAATCGTTGCGCCAACATCGCCTCCCTTGACTATTGGCGGGAACTCCGATCCAAATATAAACTTCCATCTTCCAGCCGAATCCCCCCTGTTCTGTGCATTTAGAATCGAAAGGTTGGCTAAAGCTCCCTCGGACAGATAATTAAGCTCTGGGGGTCCCGGGGAGCGGCCCCAGGTCCAACCGGCCGAGCGTAAAGCAAAGCAAAGCAAAGCTAGGAACTGGCAAAGGATGGATGATAGGTTCCATGCATGTCGGCTCCATTCAGCTGGAGAATTCGCGCACAAATCAGTGGTGGCTCAGTGGTTGGTATGCTTTTAAAATTCCAGTCAGTCCAATCAAGGGGGGGAGCTGCAGCCTGTGCTTCATCGGTGGTCTGCCAAAAGTAATATTAGTCTGTCGGTAGTAAGAAGTTAAGAGTAAGTGGTAGTGCTGCTGCTGCTGCTGCTTGGTGTCCTCCGGCCTTCCCCCCAGCATCCATACTTCCTCCTACCGACAAACTAACGAAACTAACCTGAAAGACGACTGTCTCCGCCGGATTATACCTATCAATTCAGGGACTACTTCGGGTGCTACCTTTTATCATTCGTCCATCCCACTAGTCAAAACCCTTGGTCGTCCTGCATCTTTCTTAAAAGTTTAGTATATATGGCGTCCGGACTAAACCCCGGTTCTCTTTCTTCTCCCAGATTACGACCTCGGGCTGCCACAACAATGCAACCGACCACCACATCGACATTATCTTCACGTCGCTCGTCGCAAGTCATGGCTCCTTCAGTCGCTGCATCTACACCGAGCACTCATACAGCTGCAATCTCAACAGTCAGCGACCAGATAAACAACATGTCTACGTCGGGTAAGCCAATGGCCATGTTTACAAAGAAAGCTGGAGAGCACCTTGACTGACTAGCTCAAGGTCCACTTCGTCATCCCAAACCGCTCACTCCCTCCGATATCCATTCAATGCTCGAGCAGGAGCAGGAGGCAATGGTATGACACGTTGGATGCTTCCTTGATCAAGTCTCTGCTTACCCTATTCTACTCTAGGTGAATCGCTTGTCGCGAGAGCTTTCCCTCCTTCGTCAACAAACGAACTCGGTCGCATCGACAGCCTCTTCGACATCGACCACCCTGAACGACTCGGTAGATGGGCTCCATGCATCGCCATACATTATCAGCTCTGCGCACCCCACATCATCGCGAAGACACCGCTCATCCTCCAGCTTGAGCTCCTCCTACATCCCAGCGGTGCAAGGCTCGAGAGCGGGAAGTGTTTCCGGCATTGCACCTGCGCGAGAGACATACCTTCCTGCGACACGTCCTGATCCCTCGCGACCGGGGCGAAGCAGGGAATCATCGCTCACCTCTCATCGGCAATCGGAAGGGGCGTTGCCATCAACGCCTGGATCTCATCACCAGACACAGCCGACTGACCACCCAGCCCATCATACGGGCAGCTATCCGCACCGCAGCTCGCTGTCACAGCAGAAGACACCCAGTATCAGTTCTACAAGCCGCCATGAAGAGGTGTTGCAGCAGCGCGGAGAAGTCGATTCGCTCAAACGCGAGAACGAGATGCTACGCCGACGTATCCGAGACCTTGAATCTGTCATCTCAAAGATTCAATTACAGGAGTCGAATCCTTCTCATCTGAGAGATGACAACTCCCCATCTACACCTACACCGGACTTTAAAGAGTCATCCGGCACGGAGACGAAGGAATCAGATGGAGATGCCTAGAAGTTTCTTTGGCTATAGGATGGGTGCTATGGATGAATTACGGAAAGCAGGATCTTTCAGCCGTGATTTGCTTCGCTTTGATTTGCCATTTTTGGGTCAGAATTATTTATTTATTGCTAGGTTGTTCGGGCGCACATCTCGGTTTTCTTTTTCCGGCTTTGCTTTTGCTTCTGCAATTAGACGCTTTGGGCCTCTGGGGAAAATGCTACTGCCTGCCAGGGCGGACCTATAGGGGGAAGACACTGGTGCCATCTAGATAGATGAGAGTGGAAAGATGGTAGCACTAAGAATGTTTCAGTCTAACTCTGCACTTCTCCCTCCCACTTTCACATGTTGTCTTTGAATGGCCAACGCGGCCGTGGCCCACTGTGGCTGTGCGCGAGATTGGCTGCCCCTCGCGACGTCATCTGTGGCGCCTCCAGGCCCGCCCCCTAAACACGAAACATTATCCAGTAGTCTTAAATAACAGCTCTCCTCTTCTTCCTCCTTTCTCTCTTTTCTCTTCAGACTAATAACTCTACTCTCTGAATATTATACCATCTACATCTATCCCTCTCTACCTTCTCAGACTCACTTCATACATCATGTCTGAACGCTCCACCGTCCACGTCGAGGGCATTGCGCCCGCAACCACCGACAAGGAGGTCCAGGACTTCTTTAGCTTCTGGTATGCAATGCTTGCATTTCACACCCACCCCTTGCATGAACGGCACAGCTGACAACCTTACAGCGGAAAGATCACCCACATTTCCGTTACCCCCGTTTCAGGCGAAGCTGAAGCCCAAAAGTCGGCCACCGTCACTTTCGAAAAGGAAGCGTAAGTTACCCCGCACCTTACCCGTCATTGTCGCCAAATGACACCATCACTGCCTCTCCCTCCCAGAGTCTCAAAGCTAACCAAATATCTCCTGCAATAGTGCTGCGAAGACCGCTCTCCTTCTCGACAACACCCAGCTTGGCTCCTCCCTTGTGCACGTCAAGGCCGCTCAGACCCTTGACGACATCGCCGGCGACCAGGCCGCCAGCGCCGGACAGGCCAAGGACGAGCACAACCACGACCTCGAGCAGGAGGACAAGCCCCGTTCTCGCATTGTAGCTGAGTACCTGGCCCACGGCTACACCCTCAGCGACAGTGCCATCCAGAAGGCCATCGCCCTGGACAACAAGCACGGGTTCTCGTCGCGCTTCACCAGCGCTCTGTCTACCTTCGACCAGAAGTACCACGCCACGGACCGTGCTCGTGGTCTGGACGAGAACTACAAGCTCAGCGACAAGGCGACCACTGGCTGGCGTAATCTGAACCACTACTTCGAGAAGGCCCTCGACACTCCCTCTGGCAGGAAGTTGCGGGACTTTTACTCCCAGACCAACAAGCAGGTGCAGGATATCCACACCGAGGCTCGCCGACTTGCGGACTTGAAGAGCGGCAAGACCACTACTGAGGGTGGTGAGGCTCCTACCCCTAGCACGGCACCTGCTTCCCAGCCGGCGGGTACTGCTGCTCCTGCTGAGCAGGCGTAAGCAAACCAAATCCAATTGGAAATCAGAAGAAAACAGGGATTAGGGGGTAATGAGCAACGAGGGTGTGGTTTCTGTCTGTATGCCATAATGACTTGACCTTTATTCAGTTCATGTAATGCTTCAGTGACAAACATCTTCTTTTTGCGATAGCTAGCTGTCTGGAACAAGCGATACCTCAATACCAATACCAACAATTTGATGCCATCCTCATCTCCCTTCTTCCTTCTTCCTTTGTAATCCAACAATACAACCTCTAAAAAAGTAAACTCTTTTCACTTATCCCAATACTATACCGTACTACACTACACTACACTACACTACACTACACATACTACACCATCGAACACCGTTAAAAAAGAAGTAGATCAAAAAATAATATCATATCATAACCATATCATAAATACATTCATTTATTTCACTTCCCAATTCCCTCCCCTTATCCCTAATCCTCTCATAGAAAATAAAAGTAAAAAAGAAAGGATTAGGCAACACCCCCCTTCGAGAACTTCGCACTCTCTATATCCTCCAACGGATGCTTGGGGTTACTCGACAAATTCGCCGTCTGGGCCGCCTGATCCTGGACGTCATGTTCGGGCGGCGCATATTGAGGCTGGGCTTTACCCTGCGAGGGAGGGTCTTGTTGCTGGGCGCCGGATTGGCGCTCCGGGGAAGGGGATTGGCGGCCGGGGTTGGGGGCGGACATTTTCTTTCAATCTATTAATCGAGATTTGGAAAGACTGGAGGGGGTTGCTGTTAGGGTTTTGGTAATTATGAGTGTGGAAAGATGGGGGAGGAAGAAACTCACTGTATGTAGTTTTAGGTGGATATAGCAGATATATGAGGTATAGAATATGGTTTGTAGGTATCTTGAATCTAGATAGAGGAAAGAGGAAGAGGAAGGAAGGGCTTTAAATATCAATTCTCTCAGGGTCCAGATTTCCCACTGTCAGTCAGCTATGATATAAACCCCAGGCCAGTCAAGGTTATGTGGCATTGGGGGGTGTGGATGAAGTGGATGGATGTGGTTCTGGGAAACATCATCATGACGTGTAGGTGGTGATAGATGGCTTTGTAAATCGTTGGTGGTTACGTAGGATGCTTTGTTTCATCGTGTGGAGGTGTACATAGTAGTATGTCTCTTATTGATAATACTTAGTGTTAAGTTATAAGTTACTGCTTATGGGGATGTTCATTAAAACAAATATTTCATTGTATATTTAATGGCAGCTTCAATTAATGATCGATGATGAGCGAAGATGATCAGTCTTGGAGGCGATGATGTCATTCCTTTGCATTATATCACGTGATGTTTGTGCTTATGTAATAGTATCCTGCATACTGGAGTAAGGATGTATCAAGGTCTGTGATGGTTAATCGGCATGAGTCCCTATGGTGTAGCATTTCTGCTGGATGATTTTGGCTTTGCCTTACGAAAAGAATGTGTTCCATGTATAGTTGGACTGCGAGGTCTACGTACTGTAGTCATTTCAGAAGAGAGCTATGTTGGTAAAATGAATAAATATATATATATATAAAGACCATAAATGCATCGAGTATACTGCTAGTGACTACTATTCTACGTAACTCTGTGAGGCTCATTAACAAACCTGGATTTTATTAGTTGATAGTTATAAAATAACAGGTCTCTTAATATCAAGCTATCGTGGACAAAGGGCATTATTAATAGGAGGATATAGTGCTGGCGAGATCATCACAACTATTTTGTTACTATACTGTGATGGTAATACACTTTGCTTGAATTGCCCAATAACTAAATAGAACTGTTCACCGCTTTCAACAAACTTCAATACATGTATGGCACCGTTTGTGAAGCCTAACAGCTGAACCCCCTTGGGCCACTATGTAGTAGAGATAGACTTCTAACTTCTGTCTGGCTAGCAGTTTCGTGTCATGGACAATGTCCTAGAAGCCAGTAGCTTAAATCGCAGGCTTTGCTAAGCCAAATGGCAATCATTCACAGGAGTATCACAGTATTTACACATTTCTAAATGCCTCAAAAGGCACGGACTCAAATTACTGCAAAAAAGCACGCGCTGCCCATCGGCCACCATACAAAGAGCACTGATCATTCATACTCAGCTGTAGGTTGGCAGAATGCATAAATATAGCCTTCACGTTGTCCGACATTATAACCATAAGTCAATTGACAGGATTAATTGGGGGGAATCGATTCTCTTCGGATTTGCAGCACCACTGCACTCGAACATTGGGGGGTAAAAGGAACTTTTGGGAAAATAACCGGGGACATCACCAGAGGGTTAGTAAAAACGTCAACGGAACAGGAGACAGAAAAAAAAGAAATTGTTCTAAATGACAAAGGAAAAGAAAATAAGAAAAGGCATAGATGGCGTTATAACGTATCCAGCAGGCCGCTCAACAACACTAGCCGTCGCCATCACGACAGACGTGAAGATTTACAAGCCTGCCAAAACAGACATCCAACCTGGGATGGCATTTTTCTTTTTCTTCTTTTTTGTATTTCGTTGCGATGTTCGTTGCCTCGAAGAGACCGACTGGCTCGTTTCGTCAGCCCTCCGGGTTCATCGTAGCGCTTCTAGTTCCCATTGGTCTGGACACCAGCCGCCTCGGCGTTGGCCGCCGCCAAAGCCTTCGCTTCAGCCTCGTGGAACACGGACTGGAGGACTTGCTGTTCCTCTTGGCTCAGGATCTTCGCAAGGTTTTCGTAGAGCTGGGGCTGTTCTTGTTGGAGGCCTATTTCATTGTCAGTGGCCGTACACTTCAAATAGTCGAACATGGACGTACTCATAAGAACGTGCTTGAACATGCCATAAGGCTCAACCTTGTCCAGAGGGGTCTCCAGCAGGCTCTCCTCATCAAGGTCATCCTCGTCTTCATCGGCAAAAGAGCCGAACTTCTGGGCCTGTATAATGTGTCAGTGGCGATCAACCGAATCCCAATTCAATATGACTCACCTCCTTGTTCAGGAAGTCAAGGTAAGCGGCACTGTCATCAGGGACATCACCCTCCAAGAGCGCCTCAGCCTCATCCTGCTCGGTCCACTCAACCTCGCCATCCCAGTCGTTCTCCTCATCACCTTCGTCCTCTTCCTCATCGAAGGTGAAGTCCGACTCCTTGGTAGCATCCTCACGATCTATAACGCTATTAGTACATTTGTGGACATAATTAGGGTCAGGCAACATACGCTTAATGGCCGCCGGCAGGGTCTGGAAGAGCCTGGTCACTCCCTGGAGCAATCTGGGCCAGCCTTGCTGAACGCTAGCCGGGACATCATTGGCATTCAAGGTCAACAAAGAGCTGATCGCGGCAATCGACAGCTTCTTGTCGTGGACTCTGCGGAAGTTGTCGATGTTGGAGAACCAAGTGCTGAAGAACTTGTTCGTCCAGCCCTTGGCTTCCAGAACCTGAAGACTGAGAACGGGGTTGTAGTAGATGGCGTTGATGACCATCTCCATCAAGTGGATGCGGTAAGACTTCGTCCGGGCCTCGCCGGCGTCGATGACGCGCATCGCCAGCTCAATGAAAACGGGGATGTATTGATCGATACCACCGCGGAGGTTCAGCATCAGCGTCTCTGCGAGCTTGCAGCCGCAAATCCGATCGACACCGCCGACCTTCTCATCTTGGAAGATGTCCTCAACCATGCTGACAACAGCAGCAAGGTAAGCAGGAGTCTGGACCATCGTTTGCGAGCCGTAGGCAACATAGTTGTCCAGGGCGGGAAGCATGTCTTCCAGGTACAGCTCAGCGCCAGCCTTGAAGGTCTTGTGGATGAGCTCAAAGGCCTGCCACATCGTGGGAGAGATGGACTTGGAAGCGAAAGTGCAGCTGTCGATGATCTCAAAGACCTCATTGTAAAGGTCATAGAGCTTGTTCTCAAGAGTGATGCTGATAACAGGCATGAGGATCGTCTCGAGGTGGAGAAGGACATCGGGTGTGCTCTCCAGGGTCAGGATCAGGGTTCCGATCGTTTGCAAGACACCCAGAGCGGTGATGCTCTTGTCATCCAAGAAATCGCCGTACGCATCCTCGTCACCCTTGGCCGCATTGCGCTCCAAGAGCTCGCCGACGATACGCATGTAGGTGTCACGAAGCTGCTCGCTGAGTGCCACAGCGAAGGGAGTGAGTTCGGCGGAGAAGACCTCGACAAAGTCCTCCATCACATTGGCGAGAGCATCCACATCAACCTCGTTTGCGAGCTTGAGCAGCTGCTGCATGATCTGGGGAATGTTCTGCTGCATGGAAGTCCTGATAATATCGTGGCGAATGAGGGGCTGCAGAGCGAGCGCGGCCTCGACTCTGACAGGCAGTTCGGAGTCAGTCATAGACTCGAGGATGTTGCGGTAGATGATCATCAGATTGTTGGGATCCTGGAAGTCCAGAGCTTCGAACTTCTCCAGAGTGTCACAGGCACGAGCCCTGAGGAAACCGTGGGGACTGCGGAACTCGGGGAAAACATGGCGGACGAAGAAATATTCCACCTGATCCGCGATGGGGCTCTTCTTGCCAAGGATGACAGAAGCCAGGGAACCAATCATGCGCAGAGCACCCTCCTTCTCTCTGGGCAGCTTCTGGTCATCGGGAGCAGACTCGTACTTGCTGACGACGCTGTTAACGAACGTAAGGATGGAGAAGGTTTGCTTCTTGCGGTTCTTGGTGAGGGCCACCAGGAAGTTGGTAGCGGCAACGTCGGGGGCCGAAACTTCCTCGTAGAAGTTCAACTTGCGGTGAAGGTACTCGGAGGGATCGGTCTCGAACAATTCAATGTCTTCATCGGACTGGCACAGGATGGGGAAGATGAAGTGAGCGATCAAGTTGTCCATGTGAGGCTTCAGGTGCTCCCACATAGCCTTCGGCTTGACACACTCCTCGAGGAAGATCATGGTGTAAGCAAGCGCGGGGTTGCTGAGCCACTGTCCCTTGGACACCCACTTGTCGATTTCCTGCAGGTATCCCTTGAGAATTTCGGGGGCGAAAGTAGTGATGAAAGCCTTGCCGTACTGGGTGTAGTCGGGAGTGCTCGACTTGCTCATCGTCGTAGGGTTTCCGTACCTGCGAAGTGTGATTAGATGAATGCCCCACGCATACACTGCGCGCAATCTACATACCTGATAAAGAGACGGTTCAGGTTGGCATACGACCACTTCTTGCACTTCCACCAGTGGTTGAGCTCTCTCTCCTCCTTCGACTCGTTCATAGCGCTGGCAGGAGGCTCCTTAGCGATGATACGCAGGAAGAGCGTGCACCAATCCACCGTCGCTTGTTGTGTTTGGAGATGCGGCGAGAGTTCGAACTATACCACCATCGCATTAGTCTCATTAAGCCACCCGAATTGAAAACCTCTCATCTCTTCTTGGTTCACCCACGTAGATAGCATGCTTGTAGGACTTGACCACGATGCGGAGCATTTCCGCCGCCTCCAGACTTTCCTCATCGACAAGCTTCAGACCGATGTTCAACAGCTGAGGGAACGAGTGCTCGACGATCTTATCGAATTCCTCCCTCTTCTCTCCGGCCTTGAATCGGTATACACGGCAGATGGCCAGCAGGCACTGCAAACCAGCGTAGACGGAGTTGGCATCGTTCATGCCCAGCAACTGGAGAGTGATGTCCAGGAAACCGGGCCACTGCTCGGGGAAATCATGCTGAAGGATTTTCTGAAGAAGAGGAACCAGTTGAGCCCGAACATTCGGCGGCGTGGATGCCAGGGCGGGAATCAGCCTCTCACGGAACCCCGGTTTCTCCTCCTCGGGAATCGGTGTGCGCAGCGGACTTTCTTCGACAGGGGACCAACCACGGTTGATGCGGTTCTTCAGGTAAACACCGGCTAGAGAAAATCATCGTTACGTTAGATCATTAACTCTTTTTTTTGGTTGTATGAGGATGTTGGATAAAAAAAAAGGGCGGTGGGTGATCGCCCGGACGGTCACCACAAAAAAAAAACCTACCCGACAGTTGGACGGCATTGTTCTGTTCCCCCTGCAAAATATCCAAGAGCGCATTTATGAATCCAGGTTGCGTCTCGGCCTAGAAAGAAATATGAAATAAGTATGATGCCACACTGAGCATATCTGAGCCTCTATTCCCACACATACATATTTCAAATCCAATTCAGCTTGGCGTCGATTGTCCGCATTGGGGTCGAGGGTAGACTGTATGCGGTCTCGTAAAGCGGCAACATCCATCTCGCACCAGCAAGGGCCCCCGGTAATAGAAAATCGAGCTGGAAGAATAAAAAAAAAGACCCCGTTACGCGGTGTGTGAGCCGGGAGGTGTGAGGGGAGGAGGAGGGGGCGAGTGAGGGCGATAAAGTAGGCGGGGGGGAAGGAGGAGAAGGAGGGATTGATAGTCAAATAATGTGCAGAGAGACAGCAAAAGTGCCCTTTGGGTTTGTTGGGTTTGGTTTTCTCTCGTGGTTTTTCAAATAAGCGTGCCCGCCCCGCGCCTATGGCAGCTAATCAGAAGCCTCGCCGCCACGCGCGGTAACAGAATTTTGCTTTTCTCCTGAGCCTGAGGCCTCGGAATTGGGGGCAATCTAAGGCGGAATTTTTCCTGGTCCAAGCTTGGAGCGACTTTTGATTCTTAGTATTCTTACAAAAGAGGGTCTATTGATTTGAGTCTGGGGTTCGGTTCCTTTATATGTGTGCTTCTAGCAGCCGCCTCAGGCAAGGAGAAGGGGAACTAATGAAACGCACTGGAAACAACAATAACAAAGGCAAAGAAAAAAAAAGTATAGTTATCTAGTAGGAAAAAAAGGAAAGAGTAATTCCCCACGTGGTTTCCCCTCTCCCCCCCCCCCAAACAACAGCCATCCCTCCAGCACTGACCAGTTGCCCTGCTTCCCATCGAGTACTGAGTAGTTTCACATGTACAAAGAGGCCGCAAAAATCACATCTCTCTTGATCTGCTCCTGTGCCTGTTGCATCTTCGTATACAACGTCGGATCACCCACCAACTTGGCCGCATTCTTCACCTCCCGACATGTTTCGTCTAAACGCGTAATGGTCCGTACAATGGTGCCTTCCATCACATCAGTAAGGTCGGTGATACGGTTGAACGACATTCCCTTCGCCCATTCGTAGACAACCTCGGCTAGACCAAACCGTGGCTGACTAGCGAAATCGTTGCTGTCTTCGCTGGTTTGGATCACCTGGTGCTGGATCTGGAAATCATTGACACGGTCGGAGATCCTCACAATGGCTTCCTTGCCCTTCTCAAGACGAGGAGTCAATGTGGGAACGTTCTCTGTCTTTTCTTGGAAAACGAATGCGGATAACAAGGCAACAATCTCCTCAGGTTCATATTCAGCCAGAACGTTCTCGAGGATCAACTCGGTCAGAACAAGCTCATCGGCGGAGTGAATCTGTTCGGTGATTAGCGTTTGAATTGAACGAGGAGAATTGAAGCACTTACCTCACATGCTACCTTTCCTTTCAGCTGCACGCGAGACTGCTCGTCCACGAAGCCCAGCTCCTTTAGCACCTGGATACGCTGCTCATAATCAGGCAGCAGAGCAAGGTTCTGGTCGGACATGAGCTGTTTCAATTGCGTGATATTCTCTTTAACCTGCCATTCATCATGTTGCATTTCGAACTGCCGCGTGTAAGCATCATTGTCGAGCGTGTTTTGGAACAACAAGTCACTTACATGTTTCAAGAAGCTGGGACACTGCAAGCATTTGCACCCTTGCGCAATGGAGGCCTGCTTTTGCCGCTTCTCTAATATATCTCTGACTTGTAATTCCTTGATTTGGGCCCAGTCTATTTCATCCCAGACTGAACTGGTCCACGAAGCGCAATGCTTGGTGAGCTCCTTGTCTGCGAATTTGCTTGCCTCTGTCCACGGCGTTAGTAACACTGACCTCCACAAAGCGTCCGCAGAACTCACCCTTCTTGATGTTAAGGTACCATGTAGGACCACCAAGCTTAACTATCGTATTTGTGACGCACTCAAGGTCCAACAGGGGCACCTTGTACGCTTTCAACGCCATATCAGCGGCGCGGGTGGGCAATGTCTGCAACAAGTGTCTAAACTTTGGGAGGAAGGGAAGAATATCGCTGGGATGGCGCTTGTGTCCGAGCCTTCCTATCTCAAGAACTTGAATACTAGGTGTCTGACCGCCGCTAACACCTTCGCGAACAATGACACCTGCGGTTCGGAAACCCTCCTGTAGGACAGTTAGCTGGACTCCTCGATCATCGGTAATGGGGCATGTCTACCTTTCTGTACACGATCAATCGCTTCGGCACAAAGAGGCGTTTCCCAACGGGGGATGAAAGCAGACCCACGTGGAGCTCACTTGTAAGCTTCTCATATTCAATAGAGGCAGCATGGCAGGCCGCAAGGTCAATATCACATATGTCACAAGGCTCTCGCTTGATTTTCGCCAAGCTGGCCTCCGAAAGTTGCACCTGCTTCTCGTGCTCTGGGAGCAGTGCCTGAGTGGCATTCTCACTAAAACTTCTCTTGATCATTTCTTCAATCTTCAGGGCCTCCACGCGCAAGAGGTTCAAGATCATGTTGTATGTAAGCCTGAATTGAGACCGCAGTTTAGTCGGATCACCAAGAATCATCCTTCTCAAAGCGCCAGCCGGAGGAGCTTCATCTCGACCCGCATTGACGATAATGACGTATCCCACATTGTCAAGTCCTCTACGTCCAGCACGTCCAGCCATCTGAGTGTACTCTCCAGGTAGCAAATCTCGGAAGCCTTTGCCGTCATGCTTGCGGAATCCAGAAAACACAACTGTTCGCGTTGGCAGGTTGAGCCCCATGGCAAATGTCTCTGTAGCGAAAAGAACCTTGACCAACGACTTAGCGAATAGAATCTCGACGATTTCTTTCATGATCGGTAGAAGACCACCATGGTGGACAGCAATGCCTCGACTCAACAATTCGCGAAGACGAAGGATCTGTGGGAGGGTACGGTCCTCTGGCTTAAGTCTTGTGAGGGACTTTTCAATGAACATATGAATCAGACTCTTCTCCGAAGCAGTGGAAAAGTCTTGGTTGGACAGGGAGTCGGCATTCTGTTCACAGCGCTTTTTGGAGAAGACGAAGATACAACCAGGCAGCAGATTCTCTTTGCGAAGGTGCCCAACAAGCTGCACCCAAACGGTTTTGTCCTGCGCGGCTGTAGTCCGTCCACCACCTCTTCCTGTACGGGCAATGTTTCCAGTGCCTCTATTTGCAGGCTGTCCCCGGCCACGAGGAGCTCCTCCACGTTGTCCATTGCCGCGAGCACCGCCTCTTCCACCGGCTTGTCCGCGTCCTCGTCCTTGAGGAGTTCCTCCTCTGCTCGCTTGGGATTGAGCTTGGGCCTCGGCCGCTTTCTGAGCCTTGACTTTGTCTCTTCCGGAGATGATCTCATCAGCTTCTTTCCAGCCGTTCTCGAGGAACCGCTTGTTGGAGTCCACGATCTTGTACTTCCCTTTGCCGGCCCAGAGATAATGCTCGAGGGGAACAGGTCTCTTCGCAGTTGAGATAACGTAGATGTCCTTCTTCTTCGTGCGACCAACCCAGGATGCAAACTCATAAGTGTTAGGAACGGTGGCAGACAAGAGAATCAGAGTAACATGTTCGGGAAGCATAATGATGACCTCTTCCCAAACAACACCTCTTTCAAGGTCGTTAACATAATGCACTTCATCGAAAATCACGAACTCCACGTCTCGGATCAGGTCAGCGCCTCTGTATAGCATGCTTCGTAAGATTTCAGTAGTCATGATAAGGCAGCTTGCTTCCGGATTGATCTGAACATCACCGGTCAAGATACCAACATCATCAAACTCAGTTCTGAAGTCTCTAAACTTCTGGTTACTCAACGCCTTAATGGGTGATGTGTAGATAGCCTTCGTCATATGCTTCGCGGCAAGAGAGATGGCATATTCGGCGACGACAGTTTTACCGGCTGACGTATGAGCAGCAACGAACACAGAGTCGCCACATTCAAGATGATACACAGCCTCCTTCTGGAAAGTATCCAATTCGAACGGCCACTCCCGAGCCATGTCGGGGACCAGATCGCGGAAGTTCGAGATTTCTTTGTTGACGTCGACGACATGAGCCCATTCTTTACCGGCTTTCCGTTGCTGCATGCCTGCGAGCAGCGGCGCGTGGGGTTCCAGCGCTGGAAACTCGACAGGCAGCAAAGAGTCAATATCTTCCTCATCGCTGAGCTCCGCCTCATCATCGATCTTGACGCCTCCGGCATCTGACGCTGTCTCCTCTTGCTCAACATGCAGATCGGCCTCTTCCTGTTGAAGAGCGTGCTCCACTTCCTCGTCTCCTTCAGCGGCCTCTTTAGACTTTGCTTCCTCGAACTTCAGTCCCCGAGAGAAACCAGGAGCAATCTCCAATAGACCACCTTCAGCCCCAAAGTTAATGATCCGATCGAGGCCTGATTGCTTGCCGCTGGCTCTGGAGTGCTCCGGCGTCTGGGCTTCAGATTCCATTTCAGCAATTGCCTCGACACCATCCAGCCCACCTGGAGCGAACGGGAAGAAGCCAGCTGCGCCTCTTACAAAGTCCGCACGACCAGCTGGCCGGCGAAGAAGTGACGTTGAATTTTTGGCATTTGCACTAGTAGCGGGAACAGTCACCTCGTGGTAGCCCGTAACGCGGCCTTCCAGGCCATCCCGATCGAATCGGACAATAGTGCGTGTCTGTGTACCAGCGACCTCGAACAGATCAGTGTAATCCGTCGGGACATCCCACTTCCTGTACGATGTCAGTATACAAAACAGATGGGTATGCCAGCGAATGTCGGGTATCAAACCTTTGTAAGCGGTTCAGCCATTCAGGACTAAACGTGGATGAAGGGGTTAAAAACTCCTGCTCTAGCTCCTGCTTGAGATCTGCAGCATCCTGCCGAGCCTTTTGACGAGGTTTGAAGTCCTTGTAGACACCATCCTCCTCTTCGGCCAGCCTTGCGTCAAAAGCCGATGCGCTAAGGTTTTTGGAGTTTAGGCTTAATTCCGCCAGCGCCGATGTCAGAGTCTCCGCCATCTTCTATGAATTCTAGCTGAAGGTGTAAGGAAAGCTCTGATGGTACGCGATCTACTTCAGCATCGCACGACACGTCTGAGCAGAGATCTAACAGAGAGCCCCGCAAGGTAGCGTGACGGGAGGAAGATCTTATCAAAGCGGTAAGCCAAGGTTAATTAAGACCTATGCAAAGCCTGCTGGCAGAATCCAGCATTCACAGGGTAGTAATTGACAATGGACCCTATGTCAGTAGTAGCTTTGAGATGGAAAGAATAGCTAGCACCGGTGGTTATTCGATGTGTTTGGCGGCGGGAAGTTCGCTGGCGCCAGAACCAACCAGCTCTGGCTCTGACGTCGTGTGGGGACTGCAGCTTCCGCCCACCGGTGGGATGAATAATGTTAATTCACATCCGGATGAACTAAAGCCATTTGGGAGAAAAACAGAGGGGAATCGGAAAATCTCAACGATCAGCTTCTTCCCCACAGATTTTCCTCCAGGGGGTTGTGGTCTTGCACAAATTCTGCTTCCCCCAGAGTGGTGAATGGGAAGGGCACCTAAGCCACTCGGCACAGGATATCACAACTTTTTATTCCTGTTAATGTGCCCTACTACTAACAATACAAGGTAGTGTGGTCCTTGTACAATGAGTGATCCATCATATACAGTCACCAGAACGCCAAAAGCAAATGCGAAACGATGATTTGAACCCAGTGTTACAACCGGAAGGCTCCCGAAACAAACGCGCAAATACCCGTGCTGGAAAGGGGATGCCAGGGAACAAGCAGGCGTCCATCGTCGTGGACAGTCCCGAAATCCCCTCAAAACATCAAAAGGTGGTGTTCTATCTCCAGTCGTCCAATCTCGTATGCTGAATGCCAATTATCCGTCACACCCTGCGCCCTTTCATATACCCGCGCAAATTGAAAGAATATCACAGTCCCAATAGGATTTAGTAAAAATAAGAGTATGGGGGTGTTGGATGAGCCGCTCACCCTTGAGGCGAAAGTCGTGCTCAGCAACCATCCCAGAACTTACCCATGACAGGGCTAATGATTTACTTGCTAACGATAGGTGATGACAGGGAAGGTCTTCCTGTCTGTTACATTGACCTGGTATTCGAAGATTCCGTCCACAGTGGCGACGTATCTATACAGTCAGCTGGAGTTTACCCTAAAATCAGAGCAAGACATGGCACCTACAATGTTCGGCCATCTGCACCCCAACCAATACCAGCTGTGCTACCCGGTTCCTGGTCTCGACCAATGCCCAGGCTACGGTCAGGAAGTTCGTTCAACACGTTACGAATCCATCGAGGTGAACGAGCTTGTTCGAAATCCCACTGTGTCTGCCGATACCGCAGGTGACTTTGCCGGCTGTGTGGTAACATGGCATTCTGTCGCTGTTGCCGTCGAAGGCGTTCCACGGCCACGCTGGCTCTCAATTCAGTGCCGGAAAGCCGCGGTGGATCTTGCAAAACCTCGGGCGTGCCGTCCTGACTCTCAAGCCGTCTGTGGCCTGAACGGGATCGCTGATGGTTTCTTGGCGGGGGCAACAAGTCTGCTGTGGTATTAGAATAATCAAAATTGGCCGATGGACGGTTCATTGTGCCATGAAGCCGAGCCGCAGAGCCCTGTTCGTTACCGGAACTGTTAAGCTCACTGGAGCTGGAATCTGCAGCATGCGCAGGGGTGTCCGAACGATTAGGGTATATCTCTGAGGGCGAAGCAGTCCAGCTGAGTGTAATACTAGGCTGCGGATCGGGGTTTACTAGTCCCGTTTCGGGTGTCCTACTGCTGGCTTCATTGTGGCTAGGAGTCAGTAGAACAGAACCCTGGCGTCTCGCGTGTTGGCTGCGATCACCAGTTCCCGTTTGCGAGTCTTCTTGGTACAGTTCTCGGTTTGGATGGCTGCGCGGTGGAGGCGAAGTAGGACCGGAGGCTCGACTGGCCTCATCCGTCGGACCGTGGAATCGGGGGCGCACTGTAGGGTGAGGATGAGCATTAGCTCTAGCTCGCCGCTCTGCTAACCCGTCCTCCATCCTCGACGTCCATCGTGCTGTATTCAGAAATTCAACAATCAGCCTCTCTCTTTCCGTGAGGTCCTGTATCAGGCTCTCACTTAGTGGCGAATTGCCCGAACCCGTCGCGCCTCGGTTATGGAGTGCTTCATCTAACGCGTCAATCGCTCGCTGTGATGCGTCGAGTTCATGCCGTGTGTCCGGGGAGGCTCGACTATCGAGTTCGAATAATAAGTCATCCAGCAACGGCTCCGTACGGACTTCCTGCAAGTCTGGCTCGTTCATATCCAGTTCCAGTATCTGTCTGCGAACGAAACCGCGACGGACATCGGCAATCCCAGCTCGCCCCTTGTCTTCAAGCCATACCAGGAGATCCCAGGGCTCAGGTGCAAACGCCATACATCGTACAGCGCCTCCATTGCAGCAAGCTCTTGACGAGTTGAAGCGACAAATTATCGCATTTTGGCCCTGAGGCTGGCGAATAATATCGCGGATAGTCCCAACGTCAAAGATGGTGATAACTCCAGACTGCGAACCAATCGCGCATAATCGACTGAATTGAGAAAAGGCGACAGTAAAACAGCATCCATCGTCAAAGCGTGTGCCTATGTCCATTTCTATACAACGAAGAAGGTCCCAGTTCCATCCACAAACTTTGTCACCATCATCCGTCACAGTCACTGCATCGAGGTCGCGGGTAACATCATAGAAATATGCACGTGTCTCATCACCAACCGCGGCAAGGACGGTTGAATCTGGCGACATGATCGCATAGTTCATGCACGCCGGATGATGAAGTACCTTGAGGACTTTTGACCGGGCCAGGGAATAGACGGTAACGGTCTTATCGTTATTACTGCAAAAGCGATCAGCATTTCAGGTGACCGGAAAGTTGCCATGCCCATACCTGAGAATGGCTATATCTTCCTCCGCTAGCTCCTTCCCATCCCCCGGCAGACGATGGATCGTCACGGAGTTGACGATACTGCCTCCGAACTTGTGCAATTGCACCTCCGGAACCTGCCTACTATTGCCATGGCGAGCCGGTCCAGGCTCGTCGCCAGGCATCCAAGGCGGCGATATCCTCGCAGGCGGTTCAAGATCGATTGGCAAAGCACTGTCCACGTCCGACGGCTGGAAAGCCGGTGTATCGGCACGGGCGCGCGGACTCCGATCGGACGATAGCCCAACAAATGCGCATTCCCCATTATCGGCGCCCCCCACCCCAATCCAACCGTGACCAGCAGCAAGACATTTTGGCTCGAACGGAATAACGGCAATGGTCTCCCGCTTTTGTGATGAAATGTGAATCGAGTATATGACTCGCTCGACGACAACGTAAATCCTGTCCGGGTCCGCGGTGCTAATGTAGTTGCGAAGTTGTTGATGGCTATCATACGGTTAGCAGGGATCAGCCAGCTGTTCTGCGAGCTCAATGTACAGACAAGTTGGGAATTTTGAAGGGGAAGAAGCGGCGCTTGTTGGGAAGGATAAGAGACTCCGTCGGATGATGCCTACAGATTGATACGACATTAGCAATCGGCCAGTGAATTTCATTATCTGAGTGGAAGGGGAAGCAGGAGACTGACGCGAGCGAATCCGTAGTCATTGTGAAGGAACGTCGATATAATATTTTAAGGTGACATGGTCGGAAGTACAGCTATGGCGGAGCTCCGATGTTGCGGGAAAACGACGGACAACGCAGAGGGAGCAAGAGAGTCGATGGTGAGTAGTAGAGACGACGAAAAAGAAAAGAGGTAATGGGAAGGGAAACAGCTGAAAAGGAGGCCGGTGTCGCAGGGTATTATTGAAAACAGGGTCTAGCCTGAGAGTGGGAGTTTGAAAACTAGAGCTTGTTCGAGTAAAGTAGGTAAAGAGGGAGCACACCACCAGCACCAGATACCTCCTCTCTCTCTCTGTCTCTGCTTTCTGCTCCCACATCGCTTTCCCTCCCAACTGATCCGCCCTTCACTGTTTGGACGATTTCGGAGGGTGCGAACGGATGACGTAAGACTTAGCCGGACCCAATCCGGGGAACCTCCAGCGGCGAATGCGGTCGAGTTCAATTCGAGCCCACCGCTTCCAGCCTGCCTTACATTCTTCTCTCTAGACGGTAAGGAAGATAGATCCTCAAGTCTTTATTTGGTGTACCTAGGTAATTATCGGATTTTGTAAGATCAAATATCGCTTTTGCCTGCACGCAGCATGCCCTACTAAGCCATCCCTCTGTATTGTCTCAAATTTCTGCAGTACGCCTAGTACAAAGTAGACCGAGGTCTCGTGAGGTTTTCCCGTCTAGGTTCACTGGCAGATTTAACGGGAAGCAAGTGTTTCGACACACCACTTGTCTAGCACCCATGGATTCAAACTCGGACGGGCTATCAATTGCCCGTATCAATTTCTATTTCATAGTTACTTCATGACGTTGAATGATATAGGGACTGTTGAAGATATCAACTCCGACTAGTAGCTCTGGATGTTATTTTTTCGGACTAAAGCTACGGAATATATTCTGCTTGGCGATGATGACTCATGACATGTCCATGTCCCTTGAAAGTCAATCCTGATCGATTTCTCTCGACAAACTGGCCAATGGTGAGGGCTAAGCATTTCAGAACCTTTTTTTCGATCGCAATTTGCAGCTTTGGTTCAGACGAAAGGGATAGTAGAGGACGCAGACAGTGTGGTCAGGCATACTAGCACTGGCTATGATTTATCGCTGAGCTATAAATTGTACCTAGCTGGCCAGTGTAAAGGTGCCGAGGCATCTAGTTGATGACAGAAAAGCAATAACATTGACGACTATTAATTTTCCTATTTACTCATATTAACTTCACTTGATACTACCATGAAATTGAGTGCCATCAATAGATATGGCGTAGAAATGAGTAATGCAGGACTTCATTCCAATGAAATTGAATCTATTTAGTCTCAACATGGACGTATTGCTACAAGTGACGTGTATATAGCAACAGCTTATTTCTACAATGATACTGACTAGTATTCCATCCAAAGCAATTGACTTTTGACTCATACTGACACCTGAGCAGTTAGGGGAAAGAGAAAAGAGAGCGATGGAAAAGTATTCAAGCCACAGTGGCAATGAGTAGAGGACACTGGTAGCTTCTGCGAGCTTTTGCAATGGGAAGAAGAGACCGGCCGGGGCAGTGGCTCGGCAACTCAGCTTGAGCGGTCAAAAGGATCGCTGAGCTGCGATTGGATGGCACGCGGTGTTGCCGTGATTCTACCAAGTTCGACGACGGGCCGAAGCTCTCCGGGACGATTTTTACTAGTCCTGGCAGCCGGCGTCCTCCCTTCTTTTCAAGTTTCTTCCTCCCCAGAAAGAGCTGAAAAATTCTTGTTCTCCTTCAACTCTCCTCCTCCCTCCTGTCTCCATCTTATACCCTCCCTCCTATATCCTCCGGCCCTTCGATTGAATCGACTGGCCCATTTCTATATTTCTCTTTTTAATTAGTTGTATTATTTTGTTCTTCTAATCACATCTCACAATGCTGTCCTCTCGCATCACCCGCGCGGTAAGTCCGGCATCCTCATCATTGTCGATGCTAGAGTATTGTTCCTAACATCACATTCTGTGAAACAGCTCCCGCGCACCACTCCTTTCGCTCGCGCTCCCGCTTTCAGAGTCCCCGGTGCTGCCGCTCGCAGATGGAACTCCACCGAGGGTGGTGAGGAGAAGGTGAAGGGCCAGGTCATCGGTATTGACTTGGGTAGGTTGAGAATTCCTGTGCTCGTGATGTAATCCATACAGTATCTAATACAGTCACACAGGTACCACCAACTCCGCTGTTGCCGTCATGGAGGGCAAGACCCCCAAGATCATTGAGAACACCGAAGGTACGCGAAAAAATTTTCATCCGCCGCGCCAGTTCCGCAGTGACTCCGAAATCGGAGCTATACGCGGAACCTCGCTAGTATCATGCAGTTGGAGCGATAGGTGGCTGACTTGGAATGCAAATAGGTGCCAGAACCACTCCTTCCGTTGTTGCTTTCGCCCAGGACGGTGAGCGTCTGGTCGGTATTGCCGCCAAGCGTCAGGCCGTTGTCAACCCCGAGAACACTCTCTTCGCCACCAAGCGTCTCATCGGTCGCAAGTTCACCGACGCTGAGGTCCAGCGTGACATCAAGGAGGTCCCCTACAAGATCGTTCAGCACACCAACGGCGATGCCTGGGTTGAGGCTCGTGGCCAGAAGTACTCTCCTTCCCAGATTGGTGGTTTCGTCCTCAACAAGATGAAGGAGACTGCCGAGAACTACCTCAGCAAGCCCGTTAAGAACGCTGTCGTCACTGTCCCCGCCTACTTCAACGACTCCCAGCGTCAGGCCACCAAGGACGCCGGTCAGATCGCTGGTCTCAACGTTCTCCGTGTCGTTAACGAGCCCACTGCCGCCGCTCTTGCCTACGGTCTTGAGAAGGAGGCCGACCGTGTTGTCGCCGTCTACGATCTTGGTGGTGGTACTTTCGATATCTCCGTTCTGGAGATCCAGAAGGGTGTTTTCGAGGTCAAGTCCACCAACGGTGACACCCACCTTGGTGGTGAGGACTTCGATATTGCCCTTGTCCGCCAGATTGTCCAGCAGTTCAAGAAGGAGTCCGGCCTGGACCTCTCCGGTGACCGCATGGCTATCCAGCGTATCCGTGAGGCTGCTGAGAAGGCCAAGATTGAGCTGTCTTCTTCTCTCCAGACTGAGATCAACCTTCCTTTCATCACTGCTGATGCCAGCGGTGCCAAGCACATCAACCACAAGATGACCCGTGCCAGCCTCGAGTCCCTGGTTGACCCTCTCATCAGCCGCACCGTTGAGCCCGTCCGCAAGGCCCTCAAGGATGCCAACCTGCAGTCCGGTGACATCCAGGACATCATCCTGGTCGGTGGTATGACCCGTATGCCCAAGGTCACCGAGTCCGTCAAGTCCATGTTCGGCCGTGACCCCGCCAAGTCCGTCAACCCCGATGAGGCTGTCGCCATCGGTGCTGCCATCCAGGGTGCTGTCCTTGCTGGTGAGGTCACTGACGTCCTTCTGCTCGATGTCACTCCCCTCTCTCTCGGTATCGAGACCCTTGGTGGTGTCTTCACCCGTCTGATCAACCGCAACACCACCATCCCCACCAAGAAGTCCCAGACCTTCTCCACCGCCGCTGATTTCCAGACCGCTGTCGAGATCAAGGTCTTCCAGGGTGAGCGTGAGCTCGTCAAGGACAACAAGCTCCTCGGAAACTTCCAGCTTGTTGGTATCCCCCCTGCCCACCGTGGTGTTCCCCAGGTCGAGGTTACCTTCGACATTGATGCCGACTCCATCGTCCACGTTGCCGCCAAGGACAAGTCCACCGGCAAGGACCAGTCCATCACCATTGCCTCCGGCTCCGGTCTCTCCGACTCTGAGATCCAGTCCATGGTTGAGGATGCTGAGAAGTACGGTGCTCAGGACAAGGAGCGCAAGGCTGCCATCGAGGCTGCCAACCGCGCCGACAGCGTCGTGAACGACACTGAGAAGGCTCTCAAGGAGTTCGAGGACCGCCTTGACAAGGCCGAGGCCGACCAGATCCGCGAGAAGATTGCCACTCTCCGCGAGTTCATTGCCCAGAACCAGTCCGGTGAGGGCACTGCCACCGCTGAGGAGTTCAAGCAGAAGACCGATGAGCTCCAGAACGCCAGCTTGACCCTCTTCGACAAGATGCACAAGGCTCAGTCCGAGCAGCAGCAGCAGCAGCAGCAGAGCGGTGAGGGCGAGAACAAGGCCTAAATGTACAACCACTAAACTCCCCATGACTTGAACAAGCCATGGGTGTTTCCTGTATTCCACCTTTGCGTTATTCCCTAGAGCCTTTCCTCTTTTTTCTCTCCGATGTTTTAACACGCATGATATGTATACATACCTGATAGCTCTGACTGATCTATCCCTGTTCCGGTGTATTGGTGTTTTATTTACTCTTTCTCATGTTCATTTCCCTTCTGTATTCTGATTTCTCTTTTCTCCAATCCCCTCTTCATACCTTTTTGGGCCGGGTGAGCGTTTGCACTTCTTTGACAGGAGGGCCATCCGTTGGAACGGATGCATGGAGTTTACATTTTGTAACTTAATGACATTACGGCTGGGAGACCACGAAAAAAAGGATGTGGTGGGCTGGAATCTGTGACAATAGAATATGAAATTCTCCTCTCGATTTAACAAAACTGTGCTGTGCTGGACCTGATATAATGTGTAGAACTTGGCTGTATACCAGAGAACAAGAGAACATACGTAGACACATACGTAGCCATGTCCTGTGAAACACTGCAGCTATGGAGAACTCACCCAAGTGCTAGCTAGTCTACTAGTAGTCTAATTACTATGACTAGTGACTGATTGAGTGACCACAATACCAACATTCTGGAAATCGCCCCGAAAAAAAAAAAGGCCTGCTGGGCAAAGAGAAGTGGGCCAGACAGGGCAGGGCAGGGCAAAAGGCGCGGCCGCCGCGTACACACAAAACAAGTCTTGTCTGTTAGACTTAGACTACTAGTAGCTTGCTTGACTGACTGACTGACCATGAACCTGGCTGGTACCCTGGTGCCAACCATCTAACTACCTAGTCTAGTGAGTGGGTGGACTGACTAGTACTAGTAATCAAGTCCCATCTATCTATCTATCCAATTTTATTCTGTTCATTTTCTGTGGGTGGATTCCATACTAACTACGGAGTAAGTACTATCCATTCAATTCAGTCATTCGCATGTAATGAGTAATATTGTCCAATCAACCCAAGCTTCGAAGATGGAAACCCACTCTTTCTTCCTGTGGTTAATCTAAGCGGTGTTCCAAGAATTGATTATTATTAGTGTGATTCAGTTTGTTTTGGTACGTAGTAGTAGTAGTAGTCTATTATTGTGCTCTGGGGAGCAAAAGTCGATAGCCTCGTTTTCGGTGCCATGAAAGCTAGCGGGTCGTGGTTTATCTGGGACAGAGGATGATACTTTGGTTGTTGGTGTTAGATAATGTTTGTGTTTATTAGACTAATCTGGGTTAAGTACTTTGTATTCTGTCGGTAGGGTATTTGGCTTTGGCTTGCCAGCTGTTCATACATACATACATACATTCATCCATTTATTATGTTGTGCTGTGTTGTGCGTGATGTGATGATGATCGCAGGTGGGAGGGAAGGAGGGAAGGAGGGAGGGATGTCATTAGATGATGTGATTAATTAATTTAATTGACATGGTAGTTAGTGGTAAATGAGTGGCTGCTGCGAATCAGGTTAAAGGTCTGAGGTGAAACATACATACTTAGTGTACTTATCCTCATCTGGGATGGAGTATTTTGTAAATGTCGCTCGTTGATTGTTATTGTTGTTGCTGTTATTGTTTTTGTTTAGTATACATTGTTGTAAATGTCGTGATAGATTGATCGATCCTTCTTTTTACGGAGTATTTCTTCTTATCATTGAAGGGGGTTGGATGAATTCTCACTAGGAGTGATGAACCTTGCATTGACATCTACAAAGAGAGAAAAGGAAAGAGCACACAGTAAGAAGAACAGGCAGTAAAATCGAAACGAGGAATGAAAACCTGCCACGAGTTCCCTGCAAAAGATTCCGATGATGCCTTGAGAGGGAGAGGACCTGTCCTGGGTTCAAGTTATTTTTCCTTGTTCTGACGATCCTTCCGCTAGATCGAAGCTTCTAGCACGCACAGATTATTATTTCATAAGGGCAACAGAAGAGAGAGAGAGAGAGAGAGAAACCGTGTGAAAGAGAGGGGCGGAAGTGACTTCCAGAGTCCGTGAGCAGAGAAAGAAAGGTAAAAAAAAAATAAGAAAGAAAAAAAAATCTTTCTTCTGACTGGAATGTGAGCAAAGAAACACAGTGAGATGGTGTGCTTGGGGCTACTCTCATCCATCCATTAAGGGACGACGAAACAACCGGGGAGCAGGAAGCAGCGTTCCAGAAGTGGAGCTAGTGATATGCAGGATGAACAGAAAAATTAAAAAAAAAAAAGCCTTTGGACTTATCATCATATTGATCTAATATAGTTCAATGGTGACGGCAGGCCAGAACATCACAAGTTCTGAACCACACACGGTACGTAGTATGGGGTAAGGGGACTATAGTAGGGGTTGTTAAGAGTTTAAGAGACCTGTTTGTTGTCTCTCCCTATCAGGATGTGCGATCGAGGTCCCAATCAACACACCACATCGATGGGGACGGTCGAATCAGATTAATAGCGATGAGGTCGGTACAACTTACTACTTTATTACTTACTGTGTAGTTGTAGTACTTATTGGTTATGAGTAAGTACTAGTAGTAGGCACGGGGAGAAAGTGCAGGACGTACTTTGGTTCTTATCGGCAGTAAGCCCTCCAACTGCAACCAATCGCTGCTGGGAGACTTGCAGGAGCGTTGCAGATGAAGGAACAAATCATCGATGTACACACATGCAGTGAGGAGCTCTGGCCAAGGAATCTCTCATTCTTCTACACAGTAGGGTGGGCAAGGAAAATATTATGGAGATTGGCAAGTGGACTGAATGGAGGGTGAGTGGATGAGACGAAGGGAGGGGGGTGTTAGAGCGCAAGTGAATCCTGTGCTGTTCTTTGGTCAATCAATGAAGAAGAAGAGAAGATGACGATCCTGGCAGTAATACTATCTAGTTGTGGTCTGACATGGCCGGTAACAACGCTCTCCAATAATCTGACAGACCTTTGAAGTGGATTCCTACGGAGTCATTTCTCTCCTCTAAGATAACTTGTGACTAATGAATCAATCTGTGTCACAGATGATTCTGGCAAAACATCCTGATGAGAGCTGTTATTTTCTGCTTGTGTTTCGGCTGGTACCAAAAGGCCAAAAAAGCCTGGATCTCTTTTGCTGGAACGCCCCATTTTTCTGCCCTGACTTGGACCAAACGGGCACTCCTCACGTCCAGCCTAATTTGAGAACCACTTGGAACGAGTCTATTTATTTAGACTGGATAAATTGCGTCTGGCTGCAAAAAAATCTCCCCTTCCATCATTGTCGATCACCGTGTTAACTAATAATGTACCTTGTTCCAGGAATGATCCAGTCAGTGGTGTTTTTTCGGAGGGGAGGGAGGGAGGGTGGAAGGACGAGAGGGATGCCCCGCTCGGTTGATTATTTATTGTCGTTATAATTATGAATTTTATTATTTTGATTATAATTAGTATTTATCATTATTTATTAGTATTTGCTATGTTACTACTACTGTGGTAGTGTGGATGAAAGACTTGAACTGCCCTGGCTGGCCCTCATGGATCCAATCCCACAGGAATCCACAGTTAGTTTAGTTAGCTGGGTTGTGTGTGTGTGTCTTTTTACCAGTGGAAAGGCGGGTATCTTCCCACTTTCCTTCACATTTGCCCCTTGGAACACTCAACCCAGCGAACCAATCTTTGCCCTTTCCCAACCCGTGTCCTCCTCTCGCCTTCAGTTTCTCCCGTATTCAGGGCGGGGACCTTTTTCTTTTTTCCCACCATTCTCATTGCTCTTTCCAATAAACTTCCCCCCTGTCTATTTGTCTACGTAGCTGGTTGGGGAACTTCGGCTTTCCTCAGTGCGAAATAGTAGTAGAAAATTGATAACATTGACACGCTGTATTACCCTTGTAATCCACTCTGGCCATGAGCACAAAACCCCCGATCTTCCATGATCTTCTACTTTCCTTCTCATTAAATTGTGTTACAAACAAGTAGTAGATCAGCCGGTCCTCATTGGTCACTCCCTTTAGTAGCTAAAAATAAACATTACCAACTCCAGCCAGACAAAACTGGAAGTGAACGAAGGGGACTAAAAGGGGATGAGGAAGGAAAAATATTTTACGACTGTTTCTTGGACCGATGACACAAAAAGGCCACAGAATGCTTTTGGTACATTAACTCGACAATTTTCTAGCAGATAAAATAATACTTCTACAGTATATGCGATCATCTAGGTTTCTTTATCAATTGTTGAGATCATGTCAAAGTTAATATGTGGGCGCATTACCTATATGGTCATGGTACATATCGACCCTGGTCTAAATCGATGGTTTTTGCTTCTGCTCCGGCAGAATAACACTACTAAAAAGTACACATCTCAGATCCCAGATAGACCCGGGGGGGGGGATCCGATAAATAATAGAATTTAATATAGATTACTTGGGTTGGTTTGTGTTTGTCACTAGTGTGACAGTAGTGGATTTCTATCGGAGGGGCAGGCTAGTGTACAACACAGAGACATGATTTTCGGGGGGGTGACTGAAGGATTTTGGCACAGAATAATCAGTCCAGTGAGGGCAAGAAAGTGAGTGAGTAATTACAATGATGCTCATGGTTCATTTTCAGGGATGGCGCGAAGACCACTACTACCACCACTGGACCTACTTTTGGTTCTACTAATCTGAGATCGATCTATCTATTTATCTCAAGCAGGATGTTAATTTAATTTAAGATAGAAAGAATAAAAGAATAAATGAATTAATAAGAAAAGAAAAAGAAAAGAAAAGAAGGGAAAAGGAATGAAATGAGATTGTCGAAGTTACGATAGAAAAAGAGAGAAGCAAAACAATAAACAGAAAAGAAAATGGATCTGAATCGGCCATCCCACAAGTCGGAATTCCATTCAGGTTGCAGAAACGGGCAATGAACCAGACAAGTTGTGCAGTCTGTACTACATCGTACTAAGGGCATTATTGTCAATTATTACTACATCTGACACTGGAGCTCACTAGTGCTGTTGCAGGTCCCAGACTTTATCCATGGACTTGTTTGTTTCCAAGGTCCAACTGACCGTAAAATCACTACTTACTATCTACTGACTAGTTTTATTAGCTGCTAGCGTACCTCTCTAGTGGTTGTCTAGAGCTGTCCCATTCGATCTGGTTTAATTACTTTGACCAGTATTGTTCCAATCTTGCTCTCGCCCTCGCTCGCTCTTCTGTGATTAGTATTCCTTCCTCTCTCTCCCTCTCCCCTTCTCTTGCTTTTCTTTTTACATTTATTATTTTTGTTTCCTTTTTCTTTTTTCCCTTTCCCTTTTACTCTATTTACATTAACTATTCTTTTTCTTTTTCTTCCCTTTTTTTCCCCCCTTGGTTTAAACTTTCATGCAAACCTTCCATTAGGATCGCTGCCCGCTAGAACTATCTCTTTTGCGCGCGCGCTTCTCAACAAACAGGCACCAACTGTGACAGTCTTGCCTGCTTTCCTCCTTCAATCCATTGGATCCCTTGCTTAGCCGTTAACCACTCTGCATTTGTCCCTCAACTCTAGTGGGTTGACAACCATCTCAACCGAACATTCGAGGGAAAAAACCGCGGGAAATTTCCTGGTGAGAGAAAACAAAAAAACGGGCAAGGTGCATCGCACTAGCGGCCTCTTTTTCTTCTCTGCTTGGTGGAAGTAGTCCTTGGCTGCGTTTGACATTCTATTCTTCTGATTATTTGCTGCAAGTGTAAGTCCCTCTCTTTCTCTTTTGCTACTTGCTCTCGTCAATACCCCAAACTCTACCATCTGCCACGCATTCTGGTCCTTCTCCACGAAGCCTTGGCCTCTTTCTCCCTCTGCCAACTAGCCCATTGTATCCTCTTCTTATCATCCAGTCATAAACTTCTTCCCTTTTTTGTCCACTCTCCTTCGACTCCTTCTCGCATCTCCCTTTCTCACCCTGCCTTACACACTTGTACTCCTTCGTTCCTCTCTCTATCCATCCCCCCCTCCCCTCTTTCATCTTATTCAGCTATTTCTCAAATCTCATTTCCTGCTGCTTTTTCTTCCGCTCATCCCCCCTCTCCGAGTCATATCATCTGCACACTCCAACAAAGTTTCCATGTGCATGCCAGAACTCAAAAGCGGTAGATTGGATCAACTAATTCTCTGACTGGATTCCTCTTCTTCAGTCCTCTCTACCATGACAGTTGCAGCGCCTCCTGTAGCACCCGTGCACGAGAATGGCATGAACGGAGGTGCCCCCGGACATCATGTCAACACTATGAGCCTCCCCCGTTTCCATCCAATCGCAATGAATCCGCCGCAACCAATCCCGCCAGAACATATGATGCCTGCCCATCATCAATTTCGTCCTTTCCACCCCCCTCCACTGCAGGAACAGGGTCCGCCTGCACCTGGTCCGCCGGGTCAACCATTTCAGATAGATCATATTGAGGCTCGCCTCAGGCAACTGGAACATGAAGAGGCGGCTCGCATGGCGGCCCGTAGTCATCTTCTCGCCATCCGGAAGCGAGAGGACGAGGAATTTCGTAGGATGACTGAAAATGCGGAAGCAGAAGAAGAGGTATGGTTATTAGATTGTGATATAAAATTTCCCCACCGTTTCAACTCTGACATGGATTCTTTTGCCTACAAATCAGGAACTGCGTAGGCAACGGAAACGAATTAAGCGGGAGTCAATGGGACTGGGATTTAATGCAAGCCTGGACTCTCCGCCGCTTCGACCAACGCCGCCTCGCCGATTATCGGAAACCAATGCAGCGACCACCCTTGCATTCTTCAAGCAACAGAGCCCTCCGGAGCCTCGTCCAATTCCCCCGCCAGCACAAGCGGCACCGCCCCATCCTCCACCGCAACACATTCACCATGATCCGACCGGTGCCACGTCAATCCGACGGAAACAAAAATATACCATAAAGAATGTTGAAGCTTGGGGGGAGCGTCATGGACGTCCGGCCGCGCATGACCCTTCTGGACGGGCGCTCTGGAAGCGGCCGTCGGACGGCAGCTTGGTGTATCTCACATGCCCTGTTACGGGCTGCGGCAAGGCCGACTTCGTGACCTTGCATGGCTTCATGTGCCATTTGACCAAAAAGCACAAGGATCGTAGCCTGGGCAGTCAATCCCGGGCGCTTGAGGTGTGCGGTATAGTGTTTGATCCTAACGCTCCGCTGCCACCCGTGGCTACCGTGAACCGGGCATCTACTGAAGAAAGTCGCCTGGAATCGGGTCCTGCGGATGGCGAGGGATATCAGCAGGAGATGGAATATTCTTCTGCGTCAGATGAGGAGGAGAGTCGGGAGGTCCCTGTGAAAACGGAGGCCTCAGATAGGACACTGCCTGCGCCGCCGGCGGCCATGCCTCCGGCGCCGGAGCAAATACCAGTGCCGAGAATGAACGGCTCAACTAAGCAATCCATCTCATCGATTATCGATCGCGACCCGGAGGATGAACCCCGCGGGCGACTAAGCTCAATCCCGCCTCGGCCGGCTGAGGCACCAATCCAGGCGTCCCCGGATCAAAAGCCCTCGATCAAGGACGAGGCCGAGTTTCCTCGGCCACATGAGACCGAGAAAGAGAATACTGACCCTAAAGACACAACCGAGGCAAAGTAATATATACAAATACATCATAATTACTGGTTATTTTCATTGCGTTGGCCTGTGATCAGGCAAAACTTGCATTTTTATCACCTTGCATAGTCCGAGCATGCTTTTCTGATTCTGTTCATATGCAGCTCTTGCGTCAATACCCTCTTTTCTCTTTGTGGGAGGCCTTGTGCACGTTCATTAATAATGTAATGTCTTACTCTTGTCGCAATAATTGACCCTCTTTCCATGTATGCTTGGATTGATGGGAATTTTCTCTTCTACACATGCCCCTCCATCCCTATGCCTCCAATCACTAGTACACTCTATACCCTTATAAGCCCCAGTCAAAGATGATATCTTGATCCCCGGTGCACAGTTATTGTGTCTTTTATCTTCTTGCTCTTGCTTCTCACAAGAATGTCCATACTGCCTCGGGATGTTTATACATGCATAGCTGAACAGCTTCTGGCCGGAACGATGCATTTGAGAGACACGAGTCTCGTCCAAATGGAGTCCCTCAACTCCGGTCATGTCCATAGTCCATGAAAGACATATCATTCAGTTCATCTCAAGTCTAACCTAGACCCCAACCCAAATCTACCTCAAAACCAAAATATGCACCAAATACCCACTCCCAGACATCAACTTCTCCCCCAACATCTCATCACTGACCCTCCACACCCGAAACACCCTCAGTGTCTCCCGTAACCACGCCTCAAACACCTCCGGCGACCGCTGCTGCTGCGCAATCACACACACCGTCGGCGTCCTCCCTGTTCCACTAGAACCCCTCTCATCAATACCACTCCCAGGTGGAGTATACACCGGCCTCAAGCGACACAAATCCGCACACGTGCGCACAAACGGCGCTACCAACGCTTCGTTGTAGATACAGTCGCATGATACCACCACATCGAAACCTTTATCTTCTTCCTCTCCACTACCATCCACAGTAGTGGTAGTACATAATCCCAAACCCTCCTTAAGCGATCCCGCAACATCCAACTCCCAATCTAGGGATGTGATGATCACATTCCCATTCCCATTCCCAGTTCCAGTCGCATGTCCCTGGTGAGATTTCCGAGCCACTGCTGATGCCTTACTGGACTTCTTCCCCGCCTTGGATGATTTACTACTACTACCTCCACCGGTAGAGGTAGAAGTAATGGTGCTGGCATTCTCATCCAGATTCTGGCGAAATAATTTCTGCACGTATTCCTGGTCCGTGGCGATGTAGTGAGCTATCTTTGGTGAGAGGGATAGGGCTAGTAGGGCGGAGATGCCGCTGCCTAGTTCGACGATGGTGGAGGTGGGAGTTAGGATGTTGTGTGTCCAGAGGGGGTTGACTTTGGTATTGTTATTGTTGGTGGTGGTGGTGTTGTTGGAGAGCCATTCTGCGATGAGGGGGGTGATTTTCCAGAGGACTGTTGTAACGTTATTAGATTGTTTGAGGCAATTGGTAAAGTTGGTGATTTTGTGGTATTTGTGATGAAGGTGATGATGATGAGGGAGGGTTATGGTAAAGGCTCACCTGCACCGGTTGTACCGCCTGCTCTGGAAGATGATAGCAGAGTTGGAGATTGATGAATGGTATAGTCTTGGTCGTGGATGGTCAGGTCGATGGTTGTGGCGCGGGAGTCGACAAACCCTAGGTTGGCGGAGGGGATGTCTTGGGAGAAGAGGAGGAAGGATTCTATTTGTTTGTAAATGGTTTTTGGTCCCATGGTTATTATGTGTGGTATACGGGGGTTTAAAGTGGCTTATATAGGTATACACGCTTATAGGTGGTGGTGGTGATAATGATATTGCAATCGAGCATGGCATGGGAACATACCCTCTTCTGCGTCTTCGACTTCTTCGCCGATAGTGGCGAGGAAGTTTGTGAGTAGATCCATGGTTTCTTGGAATAAGATGTCTGCCTGTCTGTCTAGTGTCTACTAGGTATACAGAGGGTATGTGTTTCAATTCCCACTTAGGGTAGGCCTGTTTGCTTCTGATATTGGCTGTCCTGGTCAGTCAGTAGTACTTAGTCATGAAGTCTGTCGATCGGAAGTTTCATCTGCAGTGGTGGGCGTTGTACAACGGAGATAACCAGGGTGTGAGAAGGGGAGAATTGAAGTTTTGACTGCAATAGGGCTTGCAATGGATGAAGAACTGGCAATGATACTGAATTTGCGGTGGTTCTGACCGACGGGAAGTTTTCCAGCATTGTAACGGCTGGCATTCTGATTGGTTGGCGGGAAGGGGGTCTCACAGTCACACCGCAGAGATCCTTAAAACGTTTCTTCATGTATGCTGCGACTGCATAAGGGGGTCGATGCATAAGTGGATGAAGGAGGTCGTGGGAGTGTGAGTCTGCAGTAGAACTTGACAAAGTCAATTACCAATAGTCTTTGGTCGGGATGTGTGGTGCCTGGATACTTCCTACGGAGTAGATAGCTATTGACGGTGGAAATCCCAACAAAAGCGGAACTGGGCTTAGCCCGCGACCAAGACTTTCCGATCGCTTTTCTTGAATCATGAACTGCGAATCCCTTGGACTCTAGAGGCTTCTTATGCCGTCATCGGGGTGGGAATCTCTGAAATTGTGGATTCAATTAGTTCATATATCTCTCCTTGGCTATAGGTACGTAGTGAATCTAGTCTGCTTACTGTACTAACTGCTGTCATGTCGGGGCAGCTGGACAAGCTCCATAGTTTGTGTTTTGTGTCTGTCCCCATGATCCCCTGCTCTTCCCCGTGTGTGTCAGAACCTTGAAGCTGTCGGCTGTGCTGGACCGCGGCTAGTACTTTATGATGTTGCATTCAGATTCCCGACCGATCTAGACGATGCATGAGCCTAGTAGTAGTAGGGGAGGTACTACTGGTACAGTAGTCGTGGCCTCAAGGGGAGAGCGTTGTCACGATCGCAACCATTGTAGCGCATTGCGAGAGCGGAGAAATCAGTCGAATATAGCCAGTAAAACAAGACCATATAATAGAACCAAGGAACACGATGTGCAGGGGAAGAAGGATCGCAAAAAGGGACTTTGACCCATCCGTCATTGTAACCGGAGGTGGCGGAGGAGCCAGAAAGCACCTTAACTTGGGGGACCGCCTTGACCTTCCCGTCCAGCCACAACAAATACTCTCTCTCGCTCTGACTTCATTTCCGATCTGCAGCTTCATCTTCTCCTCTTCTGGTGCTGCTGCTACTTCTCCTCCTCCACTACCTTCTCCTCTTCTCCAGCTTCCCTTCCTATTCCCCCCTCTTCTCCTCTCCCCTTTTTACCCCCATCTCATCCGGGTTCCTTACCATCTACCGCCCGTATTTTCTCCCCGCAATCTCGCCCGCCTTGGAAGGCTTCTTGTGTTTCTTGCTACGGCTCCACCTGCAACCTCATCCCCCCGGTTTGCAGTCCGTCAGTGTGGTTTTGCACTCCCGTAAGTCTTTTGAGTTCTGCGCTCCGGCCCTCTTTCTCTGGTTCCCGTCTCTCTGTGCTGTTGCTTTTTCCATTGCCGTATTCGTTCAGACCGAACCTAAATTCTCCAACATCGACTGACCACCACACCCCATTCTTTGTTGGACAGACCAAGTCCCCTACAGATCCTGTCTTCCCTTTCCCTCCGTCTAGAACCCCTGTCCCACCAAAATGCCGATGTCCAAGAAGGAGCTCCAGGAGCTTCGCATCCAACCGCGCATGTACAAGAAGCCTCCGTTCTCCGTAGAGGCTCCTGGATACGAGCCGGTTGAGGGCGAGACCATTCCTCGTCGACTGCCCGCCGCCAAGGATGGCCTCATCCTTCGCCCGGCTGAGGATGTCGGAACCACCTACGATGTCTTCCGCCGCTCCGCGCGTGTTTACGGCAATGCGAAGGCCGTCGGAACTCGTCACTTGGTCAAGACCCATGTCGAGAACAAGAAGGTCAAGAAGGTCGTCGATGGTGTCGAGAAGGAGGTCGACAAGCAGTGGACCTACTTTGAGATGAGCGGCTACAGCTACAAGAGCTTTGTCGAATACGAGAAGCTGGCCCTGGAGCTCGGCTGTGGATTGCGAAAGCTCGGTTTGGAGAAGCCCGACAAGATCCACCTTTACGGCGCAACTAGGTGAGTCTGCAGTTGAGATTTACCAACGTACATGAGGAATGCTGACGTTGCGTCTTTTTCTTTTTCCGCAGTGCACATTGGCTGGCCATGTCACACGGTTTGTGCCCAAACATCTACCTTGGCTCATTGGTCGGCAACTAATCGCAATTCTTGTGAACAGGTTCCGCATCTCAGTCCCTGACCATTGTCACCGCATATGACACCCTGGGTGAGGAGGGATTGAAGCACTCTTTGGTCCAGACATCCAGTGCCGCCATCTTCTGCGATCCCGTTCTCATCCCCTCCGTGGCCAACGTTTTGAAGGATGTCAAGTCCATCAAGCACGTCATCTACAACACCGACCAGGAGCCCAAGAAGGAACACCTGGACCGTCTCAAGTCCGAGTATGACTACCTGAACGTCATGAGTCTCGAGGAGCTGCGGAAGCTGGGTGAAGAGAACCCCGTGGATCCCGTCCCCCCGGCTCCTGAAGACCTTTGCTGTATCATGTACACCTCTGGTTCTACCGGTCCCCCGAAGGGTGTCTCTTTGACGCATGCGAACGTTATCGCCGCAAGTAAGTTGCTACTCGGAATGCCCTTGGCCAGTCGCCGCTAACACCAACTTCCTACCTAGCTGCCGGTATCCACGAGATTGTCGGTCCTTACATCGGTCCCTCGGATGCTCTCCTCACCTACCTCCCCCAAGCGCACATTCTGGAATTCATGTTCGAGAACCTCTGTCTCTTCTGGGGTGGTACCATGGGTTACGGCAACCCTCGCACCTTGTCGGACGCTTCCATGCGCAACTGCAAGGGTGATATCCGCGAATTCAAGCCCACCATCCTGGTCGGTGTTCCTGCTGTGTGGGAGTCCGTGAAGAAGGGTGTGCTCAACAACCTGAACAAGAACAACTTCCTCATCAAGAGCATTTTCTGGGGTGCCATGTCTGCCAAGAACTTCCTCATGACTGCTGGATTCCCCGGCGCTGACACGGGAGCCTGGTTCCTGGACTCTTTGGCCTTCCGCAAGCTCAAGGAAGCTACTGGTGGCCGGCTACGGATCATGATGAACGGTGGTGGCCCGGTCTCCAAGGACACGCAGAGATTCCTGTCCATGGCCGTTGCCCCCATGATCAGCGGCTACGGTCTGACCGAAACGTCCGCCATGGGTGCCCTGAACGACCCGATGGCCTGGAACCCTGACGCGCTCGGTGAAATCCCCGCCTCTATCGAGGTTAAGCTGGTTGACTTCCCGGATGCTGGCTACTTTACGAAGAACACTCCCCCTCAGGGAGAGATCTACATTCGCGGAGGCAGTGTCAGCAGCAACTACTGGCAGAACGAGGAGGAGACCAAGGAGGCCTACACCGATGATGGATGGTTCAAGACTGGTGACATCGGCGAGTTCGACAATCTTGGCCATCTCAAGATCATCGACCGCAAGAAGAACCTCGTCAAGACTCTCAATGGTGAATACATCGCTCTGGAGAAGCTCGAGTCTATCTATCGCTCTTCCCCCGTGGTCGGCAACATCTGCGTCTACGCCGCCCAAGATCAAGACAAGCCCGTCGCTATCATTGTCCCTGTCGAAGCCACCCTGAAGAAGTTGGCCAACGACAACGGCATCGAGGGCGACTCTCTGGAATCTCTTGTCCACAACGAGAAGCTGAAGTCTATCGTCCTCAAGCAGCTCCAGACCGCTGGTAAGGCCGGTGGTCTGAAGGGTATTGAGATCATCAACGGTGTTGTCCTCTCCGACGAGGAGTGGACCCCTCAGAACGTAAGTAATACATCTCTTCGCTTCTATGGAAGGGTATACTAATTAATGACAGGGCTTCATGACCGCCGCTCAAAAGCTCCAGCGCAAGAAGATCCTCAACCGCTTCCAGGACGACATCGACCGTGCCTACGGCAAGAAGTAAAACACCTCCGATTATAACTAAAGTCCGCGCACAGCGAACCCTCATCTCATCTCGATCAGCCGCATATCTTATGCCTGCTTAATTAGTATATCCTCTATATCCCTCAGCAACTGTTCTGTTCTGCTCGCATTATGTTTTTGATCCTGCTAATTTCGTTTACTTTTTCTATTCCTGTTGTTCTATGATATACATGTATCATGTTCTCTCCTTTCTTCGTGTGTGTTTGTCTCCGCTTAGCTAACTCTCGATGTGATACTCACTCATCCCGGTGTGTCTATGCCATATAAAATTCATCAATTTTCATTCAACTCTACCTCGTTCGTAAGTTACCAGTAGCAGCTATATGAAGCAGACAAAAACTCCCCATTTTGAGATGTAATCATTCAATAGATAGAAAGATGGATATGTCCTAGCTTCATCCCCTATTCATATTATCTCTTATCTCTCTCTACCCCTTTCCTTATCTTGCGACCCTCTAGCTAAGCTATCTTATTCTATCTAGTTCCTGTAATAGCTTCGCTGAAGCCATTACTACTGCTAGTGTACCATTGAAAGTAAATGAGATGGTTATCTACTGTATACTCAAGTGAAGTAATAGGATGACTCGTACCATACATGTTCTTTCTCTTATGTGGAATATTCCACATTTCACATTTGATAAGGTAGTATAAAGTCTCCTATCTATCTATCTATCTATTCATCTATTTGCTATATAGTATGCCCTGCAGATATAGATATTCGTTATAATGAATACTGGTGTTGATAGTCAAGTTAGAGTTCACGTAAAATAGATAGTATAGGCAATTAGGTAGAGAGACATTACAGAGATAGTACTATTTAGTACTACTAGTAGATAGCTGCTGCAACGCATGAGTCAATTAATTCACTATGAATTCAGTATGATTGAGTGTTCGTTGTATATGATATGATTCATGACTTACTACTTCGGTGAATAAATTGTCTACGTAGTATTAAATCTGCTAGGGAAATGGCTATGTAGAATTGATCTAGAGGATCTACTACTTAAAAGTTTCAAGTATGATATACGTCTCATTGCCGAAATCTTATTTTCCATCTTGAGTGATATACATGCAGTGCATGCTTCTTGTGATGGGTAATATGTCAGATCAATCCTTCCTTTCTTTTCTTTTTTCTTTCTGATGTGTCTGAAAGAGGGGATGAAGATACAGGTCATTTCGTTAATTCGATGGTTCCTGGCGCTATATTGACTGGGACGTAATAGGAAGGCGGAATTGGACGCCAATTGACTAAACCGTATCGAGACTAGTTGGTATTCCAAGTTACTGCCGATGAGAGCTCGATTCGCAACCTTTCCGGACTGCAAAAGAACAATTGAGTGGAACTACCTTACTTACCTGGTGCCTAATTACATTCCTAACATCCGTTTCTCGTGTACTTATCTTTCTTACTTACAAGGATGTCTTTCTGGAGGTGGGTGGTCTATTACAAATCTAATGAGGAAATAGCTTTACGCTGACTGGGGGATACGCACCACACAGCTCATATCGGTCCCTCTCGCCCAAAACGAGAGCTCTATTCGGAATCGGCGTGATGGCCTGGGCGTCGATTGGGCTTTGGGCTTCGCCGCAAGTGGAAAATGCTATGGGTATGGCGCCTACCAAGGAAGAACAGGAGGAGTTGGATCGGAAACTGGCTGTCCGGATATCGAGAGTCGAGAAAGATGCAAAGTAGGTGATGCAGATGGAGGCGGGTACTCTCGGCTACGGTAGTGAGGTTGGGGGTCTGGGTTGAGACGTCAGCAGCCCAACATTGGGTTATCGCAGATGCAGGCCGCCTTGACCGGTTACTTTGAAACACCAATGGGCGTCTTTCACATGTTCTTGCGAGTTGAAGCTGGGGACGGGAATAAGCCAGAATAAAAATAGGCAGAAGCAGATAGGCGGCATTTGAGTCAGAAGGAGAGTTAGGCGAGTTGCAGCAGGAAGCAGGAAATGGGGGAGGGGGAGCGGATGCTCATTTCTTGTCGTGTGTCTAGCCTTGTCAGAAGTTTGTTGGCGGGACACAACATCCGGAGGCCGTTTCGTGGAACAGAATTTTCATGCATGCAATGTCGGGAGAAGTCTTGAGACGACTAGCTGACGAGCCCATGAAGAACCCAGAGAGTTGTGCTGGCAGTTAGCCGATGCTTGTAGGGGTCGAAGCAAGCAATTGAGCGAGTAAAGGGCGAAAGAAGGAAATGAGACAATCTCCACGCAGCTCAGCGCAGGGTGATGTGACAGAGTATGATCTACGGAAAGAAAGAAGGTTTGTCTGGGACAGAATCTTCGCCAGCTCGTAAAGGGGGTTGGCCATGAAAGACTAATGTTGACACGAAAAACAGCCTTGTCAGCACTCGACAGGGGGCTCGCATGGCTGGTAGACTTTCTCTTTCCAGGGGTTACAATCGACACTGGGACCATGGTCTCAGGTTCTGAGCAGAATCCAACGGAGTGAGATCAGCGACCCAGGATCATTTGACGTACAGACGAACATGGGGTCCCTATTTGACTCAGATACTGCTCGGCTATTGCATGCAAGACTCCGAAGGCTCCAATCTGCGACATCAACTGCTCCAGGAAGATGGGTGGGGCGGGTTGCATCCCATCGACTCGCCCGTGGGAAGAGTAGGGGGCGCGCATGGAAGTCGCAGCGACTGGAGTCCTGGCCGTTGAAAAGGGCAAGTCGACAAGTTTCATACATTGCGTTGGGCGCTGACGTTGGTGCGGTGAAACTGACGCAGATTGGATGCAACGGTTGCACAACGATCCGGAGAGTTGTCCAAAGGGACATTGCGGCGTTCTCGTTGGCCGCCCTCTACCAGACCGTACTTCTGTCGGTCAAAATTACCAGGCCTTCTGTGGCTTGCAAGGCTTGGGCCCCATCAGTTTTGCCCGGGTCATTCACCCCCCTCCCTTGTACGACGTGCATGGTGGGCCATTCTAGGGAAGCCAATATTGCCTCAGCAATGCTTGGAGTATTTGGTAGCCATCGGGGACCCCGCCTGCGGGCATTACAGAGGTTGGAAACCACTGGAAAGTTGAAGCGTGTCCAGTTGGTGTGAGATGGGTTATCATTGCTTTGATTCTGCATAGTCTATTGGGACGGACAATAATTCCACGCTGCCGAAACCTGTTGGGGGGTGGGGGATGCTGCTTATGGCGCCTGGATGGTCGACGGAAGGAGACATGTTGTGTAGTATGATTTAAATGATTCTCGCGTTTCTTTTTCCCGATGAGATGGATGCAGATGCATCACTAGAGAGTGAGAGAGAGATAAGGACCGGCAAGTTAGAATTTATCGGGTCCGAAAGAACGGCGATGGTGTAGTCCTTGCAGGCTGATATTCAGACCAAAGGGAAAACAATAGTCGGGTCAGGATGACTCCGGAACGTGCCGAGAGGCCCAAGGGTTTGGAAGGAGTGGCTCAACCACAGACGCGCCCGTCAGCGCTTGGAGCGAGTGGTCATCCCGCATGGCGAAGGAGTTGTACCCGAAGGCTTGGAGGCTAGATATCCTGGATAGCACCCAGTAGGCTAGTTACACTTGCCGCCGCGATGGGGAGCATCGATGGGAGGCGCTAAAAGGGGAGAGAGCATGCACGCTCACTAACGAGATTAAATCAGCGGCCTAATGTATGCCCGGTCGATCATGGAACGCATTGGTGGGATGATCGTCGCGTTAGTTGCATCTTCCTTTTGACGTCGCTCGAGTGCCGTCACCTGCAGCTATGGAAGGACCAGGGACTTCTGACGTGGGGGGCGACAATATGGGGCCCAAGGGAAAAGGCGGGAAGCAACAGAGAGACATGGATGAGATGAGATGAGATGAGATGTGATGTTGAGGTGGACACCGGCTGATGAGGTTCGCAGGAAGAGCCATGCTCAGGGGACAATTACTTACTCTACCCGGGGCACCTTGGCGTGCTGTATGTATAGATAGTGGGTGAACTGGCTACCCAGCTAGCGAGTCAGGAGTGAGCTCACCTAATAGATCGATAGGTAGATAATTAGTTTGTGACTAGGCGGTAGTCAAGAGCAGGAGCTAAGTAGTTAGTCTGCTGTCTAGTGAGGAGTAGTGTGAGTGAGAAAGACAGACAGACAGACAGACAGACAGACAGACAGACAGACAGACAGACAGACAGACAGACAGACAAGCAGCCAGGATGGTGCCGGTGAGGCGGAAAAAGGATCCCATTTCCCTTCCGGCACATCGACAACAAAGGAAAAGCCGCGGGAAAAAAAAAAGGAGAAGGAGTGATTGGCCCTATCTTCTTTCCCTTTTCTCTCTCCATTGCTTCTAGCATGAGTGTCTGTTATTGCAGTCTATTATTCTTTGGTTCTTCATTTATTCCTGCTGAGTCTGGCAGCGTAAGTGGGCGGGAGGAAGTACAGGAGGGGAGGTATGTGAGTTTCTGGAGTAGTAAGTATGTATGGAGCAACCAACAACCAGCAAGTGGAAGTAGAAGTGAGTGTGTGTTGGTTGATTTGGTTTGGGGCAAGCGCGTCTGTACGGTAAGTTGGTAGTATCAGTGGTTACCGAGAGTAACTCCACCCCCAGGAATTCTTTCCCCGTAAATTTAAAAACTAAAAAAAAAAAAACTAAGAACCAAAAAATACTAAACTAAAAACTTAAACTGACCGTAAACTAAACGATCGATCCCCATCCATCGATCTTCCGTCACAGCAATCATCCACCCACTAACTACTAGTAACTTACTTACTACCACAAACTAGTAGTGTATGTACCTATTAGGCATGTCTGCCACCAAAGTACTTGGTTACTGGGAATTACCCCCCCTCCTCAATGGCTGTCGGTGACCGACCGCCAAACTCGGCAACAACAAATGAAAGGATGGGGCTTCGGTCTCTTCGTCGATCTTCCCTCGTCATCTGGCCTGAGATCCGGGCGGCTCGGGGTCGTTAATGGCTTGTTCTCTCTGTCTCGCACTCTCCCTCTCACACACCTCCCTTAACCACCACCACCACCACCACCACCAATTCCCTCCTCACGCAGCTTCCCCCCCCCCTCCCCCCTCTCCCTCCCTGACCTCCATTTAAGGAAGGGAAAACATATCCTTAAGTTTACCGCGGAATTTGCCACGGCTGTGAGCTAGAAGCATGATGGTGATCATCTACTAATCTTGGTACTATCGATCATCTATCAATTACGGCATACTGCAGAAACAGAAGTCTCGGATCTCAATCCGTTGTCCCTTACCCGGCTCCCCTCCCTCTCTCTCTCTCTCTCTCACTCACTCTCTCTTACCCCCTCTTTCATTGAGTCATTGACAATTCATGTTATCTGTACGTTCAATTCCTATTTAGCATTTATATGAGAGATCCGCTTCGTTGGGTTTCTTCGTACCCTTCCATATTACTTTTTCCGTGCATGGGGTTCTGGTTCTGGTTTCAAGACACCCCCCTCTCCGCATGCAGTGAACAGGGTTAGTTAGTTGAGATTGGATTGACTTGACAGCGGCATACCTGGCTGGACCAAGTAGGGCAGCATATCGGAGAAAATTCTACCCCGGCAGTAACCAATTATTACCCCCTCCCGGCGAACTATAATCCTTCTCCCTGGCAGACTGGGTCTTGCATGCGAATTATTACTATCTTTGTTCGCTTCTTTCTCGAATGGTCATCAGATGCTCCACTTCGAGAGAGATGCTCGGTTTTAGCCTTCCTGTTGGTTCGTATTTCTTGAACGAAATTTCTTTGATAGTTTGTTTTAGCATCAAAATATTAGTAAGTCCAAAATCACAGTAAATAGATTTTAAGATTTCTTTTTGGCCTTTCTGGAAAAGGAAAATTCAAGTCTCGTCTACATGTAGAAACTCAGATGTTTTGGGCCCCGTCTGTTTTAAACGGGAAATGGAAGTAATGCATCCTCCCTTTGGTCCTTCCGGAGGCAGCATCAATAGGGGGTTGCGATTGGGGGGGAGGAGAGAGAAGGAATTGACAGGCTGGAAACAAGAAAGAAAAAAATAAGTGGGGCGAAGGAAAAGCAAAGGGAATGAAACAAGCCCCGGTGCACAAGGATCCCAAAAGGGGTTGTCACCGTGGTAATGCAATTTCAACTTTCTTTCAACATGGGAGAGAGGGCAGGTCAGCTCAGCTTCGCAGTCTATAGGCACGCATAAGTCATCGGATGTCCGTTGAATGCAACCAACGCGTTTCGGCAAACGTAGGGTCAGGCACTTGGGATAGAAGAACTTCATCTGGGGCAAGTCTTTTCTGCTTCATGAACAGGCAATATGAGAAACAGGAAGGAAAGCTTTCCAAAAGCAACTGGATCACAAAGAGAGAGAATAAGAGGAAAGGAAGTAAAAAAGATATAGAAAAAAAAATAAGTTGGGAAATAGAAGAAATGACAAAAAGATAATAGAAACTAGAGAATGTAAACATAAGTGAGAAAAGGAAAAGACAACGACGGACACACACACAACACAAGAGATGTGCATGAAAGGTTCGCAGGGTTGAGATGGAAAGGAAAATACCAGAGACCTGCTAAGCGCACAGACTTTGGGAGTTGGTAAATCGACCATAAGAGCTCCCATCAGCGGTGCGAGTCGAATAGACGGGGTCAAAGCCACTGCTACTAGAGTGCTGGTATAGGTGAGAAGCTAGCCGAGGGGGTTGTTTCAGGTAATGCGGAGGTTCATGCTGATCATTATTCGTCACCATAGAGACCATC